GTCTGCAGGTGGTAAGAAAATTCTTTTCCTGATAAAATTTATACACAAAATTAAGATTAAAAAACCGCAAACCAAAATGTCAGTCATTTTTATTTTGTCTCCTAAAAATACTGCCAGCAGGTCACGTGATTATTCTAGCCTGGTCTTACATAAATCTTCTTAGGCTGTAATCGAGTCCTATAATAAAGTTTGAAGGCATTATCTAGAAATGTTTTTTCTTTGATTACACTTTTCCTCAGTCTTTCTCTTTCGTGCCTTCACGGGATAATGAGAAAGAAAGGTCTTTCTGTTTAAACCAAACACAGCACGTGTAAAACAATGTGGTGGGCGTCCAGCCCTGATCCCGCCAGCACCGCGGGGAGTCACGGTTACCCTCGGTGGCTCCAGGTGCCGTCCCAGGCCAGGGCAAGCCTCCCTGGGACGCGTGGCGCCCCGTCTCCTTGGATGGTTTCTCCTTTCTGGGCACTGAAGGTTGACCTCAGTTTCTGGGCAGGAGAGACCAGCCCCTCTTATATTTAGTTAACACTGAGGGTTTAAAAGCAAATCTTTATAAAGACAGTGGGGAAGAGGAACAAAAAGTGTGTGCACCCACCCGGTGAGAACTATGCCCTCGTACCCCGCAGTTGAGCTGAGCAGAACTGCAGACAGTGAGCCGCAGGGGTGAGTGACGGGGGTTGAGAGTCGCCTTTCTTTTCTCCCTGTAAGGCACAGGGAAGTCTCCTGGCAAAGGCTCGCCCATGTCTGGCTTGCTCTGCCCTTCCCGTGTTTAGGGTCAGGGGGCGTCTCTGCCCCGCACAGGTGCCAGCGTGGGCGCGAGGCCGCTCCGCTCTGGGACAGCCATGCCGTGGGCCCGGCTCTGCGGCGGTGACTGCGGAGAGCGCCCACCTGTGCCGCACACGTTGCCGGTTTCCAGCTTGGTTAGTAGACACTGTAGGATCTAATTTCCAAGGAGATTCTTTCTAACACGAGCTCAGTTGCCTTGTTCATAGGTCAAAAAAGATCCTTATCTTGATTCCTTTCCTCTAAAACCCTGGACACCTATTGCAAGTGTTCCATGTGGTTCTTTTCCTTCTATGCTGGGCGGCTCACCTCGGAGGGTCCCCTGTGGAACCCCAGTAACTCTTCACCATCCGCATGGTTGAGAGACGAGCTCTAGGAACCAGACGGTGCAGAGTGGATGGGGAACTGCGTGCAGAAGGAAGCCCAGCGTCCAGGGCACAGAGAAAATCCTAAACTGACTGCATTGACCTGCAGATAACTCTGGACCGATGACGAAGTTCATTCAGAGTGCCCCTCCGAAGTCCCTGCTCCTCATGGTGACCCATGACGACGGAAGCACCAGGTGGGTGTGGGTGAGTCACAGCCATGGGCGGAGAGGCCCGGGTCCCTTGGTACCATCCTCTGGGGAAGAACGGAAAGTCCAAGGAGCAAGGTGCTTCCCTAAGGGAAAAGAATGAAAGATCATGACAAAACAGACTGCATTTCTTTAAAAAGAAAAACTCACTAGCCAGTGAAGCTGTCCATAAGTACTAGAATCTAAGGAGTATTTCCAGGAAGCAAGACAAAGCCACAGCTGACCATAATCAGGATGGAAATACTAGCCCCTGGCCAGAAAATCGAAACCTAGGCTGGTCCTCGCAGAACTAGGAAAGGAAACTGAGCCAACTTCTCTAGATGATGAGGAAATGAGTAAGGGAACACCCGTGTGTGCAGTGCTTTACTAGAAGCGGATTTAGCTCAGTGCTTCTCGAAGTGTGTTTGCTAAGTAAACATGTCTTTACTGCTGAAAGTTTCTAAGAACCTTCCAAGTGCATACCTGCATTGTGAATTTCCAAGTCAGGGCTACTGACCACAGCATTTCCCAAATTTATCTAACCTCAGATCCCTTTTTCCGTTGAGCATCTTACCAGACTGAAGTTCACACACTTTGAAAAACTCTGATTTAATTCATTTGGCGAAATCTAAACTTACTTTTTTCCTTTCTGCCGGCCTTCCCTTGCTTACTCTAAACCGCACCGTTTGCAGTGGTGGTGTTGCTTTACGTTTCTTTTTCATCTTTGATGCTGACTTTTGAGAGTAGGAGGAAGGGGCAGTTTTGACATCCACTTTTGTCTTTCAGCAACTTTTGTCCACCTTATTTTGCGGCCAGTAAAGAAGACCGCAGCAAGGACTGAAAATTATGTTGGCTGAATGTGAGGATGTCATTGAACCTCAAAACACGAGGGCTTCTCGGAATGGAGATTTGAAATTCTGTGCCCCAAATTGAGGTCTAAAAGGGATCTGGATGTTGTCTTATGGTTAACTAGAAATTTACATCTTTAAGCAGCACGTGTGCTTGTTAGATGCTACCATGGGCCGTAGGAGTGGGTGCATCGGTTTAGAAACCTCAGTCCAGGGATATACAGCACAGCACCCGCAGAGCAGAGCTTCCCTCCCTCGAGCCCCGACGTGAAGCACTCTCACACTTTCTCCTTCACTCCCCAGATTGAAGGACGATGCCAAGAAAGCCATAGAAGCTCTGGGAAGTAAAGAAATCAGGAACATGCGGTTCAGGTCGAGCTGGGTATTTCTTGCAGCGAAAGGCTTTGAACTCCCTGCAGGAATTCAGAGAGAAAAGGTGAGTGAGCAGTTTTTAAATGCCCCTTCCTACAATCGGAGAGCGTAGTAAGTGCTGTGATTGCTGGTCGGTTATAACTCCCTGTCTCTAAACATAGGATGTTTGTCGGCCTTTCCCATTAGGTCAACATTAGCTCTTGACTGAAGTTTCCAGCTTCTCAAGTCCCTTTCACAGTAGGAAACTCAGCATGGGCTGCCGGTGTTGGTTTTCCACCACGCTGCAGCCAACACGGTCAGCCCCAGGCCTCTCTTTCCTCGGGCGGGAGGTTCAGCTTCCCAAGCCCCAGCCCTGCAGGTGACTAAGAGGGTGACCTGGGCTGGGGCATGGACACACCAGGACAGGGTGGGCACCAAGTAGACACTGCACCGGCGCAGCTCCAGTGCCGTCGTGGTGGCAACATGTTGCATGCTTGATGGCCGGGTCCTCCCGCCATGGTCTTTGATGAATATCTAAGGTGATGGCTATCCCAATTACCCTGATTTGATCTTTACACGTGATGGGAATGTATCCAGTTATCACAGGTACCTGAAAATATATACGTCTACTATGTATCAATAAAAATATATTATTAAGAAACACCTTAAGAGGAAATCAGACACCCAGGTTAGGTTGAAGCAGATCAAGTTCTATGAAGTGATTCTGTTTGTATGACTTTGCCCATAGCTGACGCTGATCAAATATTTATTGATTAGATTAGTGAATAAGCAAAACTCTTTTCTTCCCTTTACACAGATCAACCACTCTGATAACAAGAAGAACAGGTACTCCGGCTGGCCGGCAGAGATCCAGATAGAAGGCTGCATACCCAGAGAACCCAGCTAGCGCCGCCGGGTCCCCAATAAATGTGTTTTCTATGAACAAATGCAGCTGGAACGCCCGAGAATACAATGCCTTTAAGTCCACGGTGAATTTTTAATGGGTGTCTCGAGTTTGTTGTAGAGCAATGAACATTTGCTAGTGGTATCAAATCTTGGAACACTATGTTTTTATGCCGGTATTTATAGAGTGAAGATGTCAATAAGCAGGAAAACGGAAATGAATGGGAATTCCTAAAGGGAGTGAAGTGATTTCAGCTGGACGGGAGCGCTGGGGGAAGCCGCTGCTACTCGTCCAGGTGTGGCGCTACGTCACGATCAGATCTAAGTGTGACCTGTGGGGTTGAGAGCTCTGCAGAGAGCAAACTGTATTCCGTTGTCGTCACCGAGCACACCCTGGTTTCCGACAAACATCTGCTGGGAGGAGGAGCCGCAGCCCGAGGGCACAGCCAACTTCCTTGGTGGACCCAAGCGGAGCCTCTCATCTTTTCCCGTGGGCCGAGAATTTATCCATTCATTCCCCACAGCTGGGCGCCTCCTGCCCTCTGGCCGGGGTTCAGTGGTGAAGGAGACGCAGTGGCTGGAGTTGCCAGGGTGTTGAACGGGTTGGGGAGGGAGCCCTGCTCTCAGGACGGCAGCTGTACGTCTCAGACTCTGTGGGAGACACGGCATCAGATCCAAGAATCCAGTATACCCCTCGCTCCGGGAAGCTACGTGTCGGTGATGTGTGTGACTCGGGGTTAAGGAAATAAACACACTGGGATGAAGAGTCTCTACCACGTGTCCACTCCACCCTCCTTCCCAGGCCCGGCCATCAGAAAGCCGTGAGACTTGGTGCCCGCTTACTACTGCCTCTCTCGGCCTGTGGTAGCTCATCTGTAAGGTAGAGCAGTTGGGGTAGATGAGTGGTTTTGGAGCATTTTTGTCAGCAGGATATTTTAAAAATCCATGGTGGCACCTGGCACCCTGAATGTTAGCCTCCTTGTAACAAACTGACCCAAATCTCAGTGGCTTACAACAGCGTTGATTTCTCGTTCACGTTCCATGTGGGCCACAGGCCAGGCGTGGCTCGGCCCTGGGCAGGGGGAGCCAGGCTGAGGGTGTCGCCTGGCAGGCACGGAAGCCACAGAGAGCACAGAAATCCAGACGCCCGTCCCCTGGCGCCTGCTGGGGTGTGTCAGCCCCACTTGCTCGAGCCCCATGGCCCCAAGCACATCAGGCACCAGGTCAGCCCAGCCGGGGGACGTCAGCCCCTCACCACAGACCCCTCCGGGGAAGGAGTGGTTATTATGAGTGGAAATGCCACAACCCGGGGACTACTGAAAGCCAAGCACCGTGCTGGCCCAGGGAGGGGCACCACTGCCCTGCGGACCCCCTGCCTGGGCAGAGCCCTCGGCGCCTGCATGTCTGCAGGGGAGTCTGCAAACCCCTGGATGGGGCCGTGGCTCAGATCCTAGTAGGGGCTGAACTGTGTCCCCCAAAATTCCTCTGTTGAAGTCCTCACCCCCAGTATCTCAAAATGCCACCTTATTTGGAAGCAAGATCATTGCAGATGGAGCAAGTTAGCATTAGGTCATGCGGGAGTTGGGTGGGCTCCCAATCCAACACGACTGGTGTCCTTACAGAAAGGAGAAATTTGGGTACCAATTACCCATGCAGAGAGCGCCATGTGAAGATGAAGGCAGAGACTGGGGTGATGCTTCTACAGGCCAAGGAACTCCAAAGAGCCAGCACCCGCCATAAGCCAGGAGAGGCCTGGGACAGCCCCGCCCCGGAGGCTTCAGCAGGAGCACAGCCGGCTGACACCCCATCGGACTTCTGGCCTCCAGAGCCGTGAGCACAGGAATGTGTGGTTGAAGCCCCCTGGTTCATGGTACTTTCTTTTGGCCGTCCCAGGACACTGATATGGGGCCCTTTAAATCTAAGCTCACATGTGCATAGACATTTTTGTGTAAGAAAAAAAAAGAAAACGGAGTGAGAGCACATTTTCACTCTGGCTGAAATTGTTTTTACAGACTCTCTGTCCTTAATTCGTTGTCCTGGGATACATATCAGGAGCGCTCCCGGGCGTGCACCGTGCAGGGATCCGCTGTGGGACGCAGAGCTCCTGCGCAGCCCCTTGGCCTCTGCTGCCCCTCGTGTCTCTCCTGCGCTGTCCCCACCCAGGGCAGGGGGCTGGAAGGTGACGTTTCCCCACTGTGTGGCTTTAGCCCGGAGACTGTCGTCCCCTCCCTGAGAGCACGGGGCACTGCCAGCCCAGGCCGGTCCCCTTCCACTGGCCGAGTCAGGTGCCCCCACACGTCCCCTGCCTGGTGTGGACCCTGCTGGTCGTCCCTCACACCCGTCCCGGGACGGGGTCACCACGATTAAGTCCAGTGGAGCAGGTGAGGCACAGAGAGACCAGGGCAAAGAGCCAGGCCACGGATGGGAGAGGGGGCGGCCGGACCAGAAGTCCTCCCTGCACCTCGCTCCGCTGCGGCACACACGCCGGTAGGAGCTCCGCTGCCCGCAGCACCTCACCGTGTCCTCCCCGTCATTCCCCAGGGAAACGTCTGTGTGATGTCTGTCCGGGGGAGGCTGTGCCCCCAGGCTCCAGGGGGCACACAGGGGCCCCGGCCCTTACCCTGGAGCGTCGGTGGCACGGGGCAGGAGCCGGGCATGCGTACTTTGGTCTTGCGTCTTTGTCAAGCTGCGCCTGTGCGGAGCTGGACGGGGCGCTCTGCCCGGCGGCTGTGGCAGAGCCTGAAGCAACTGCGGTTTTCCCTCGCAGAGAACCGGCCCCGCGCTCGCCTGCTGCTTAGCGGGGTCCATTCGCCCGGGGGCCTAAGGGCAACCCGGCAACAACAACCCAAGGGGAAAACCCCGGCCCTTAAGGTTGCAATCCCAAGCCCCCCCGCCCCCCCCCGCCCCGAGGGGCGGGGCGCACAACACGCGCCACACCCGAGAGGGGCACAGCCCCCAGAGCCGCCCCCGCGCTCGCCCCCCCCCGGGGCCTTGCCTGTGCCTCTCCTGAAGCAGCGACGCGCCCGGCCTGTTAGGGAAGCCATTCCTAGTGACACACACACTGCCGCATGCCGCCTACTCTGGCACCAATTCCCCCTTGTCTTACTGCCCTCTGGGCTCTCCAGGGTGACAGGGCTCAGGGACATTGATCCTGAAGGTCACCTCCTGATAATTTCTAAGACTGAGGTTCTGAAAAACATTTTTAAACTTCCAAATTTCTTTAAAAGTTAAACTCGCCCTCAAGGGAAGTAAGTAAAATGAATTAGCAAAGAGGTGCTCAAGATTTTTTTTTAATTTACAACGTTATTAGGGTATTAAGTATGGAATATCTGATTTCCTTAAGTACTGAGTTTGACAGTTGATATCTCGCTTCGGCACTTCCTGTTTGTGAGTGTGTGTGCACACAGGCAAGAAGGTACATCCTCATTCTTTCAAATGCGTGTTTGGCTTGTGATTATCTTTCAAAGATTTTTTTTTTTTTTTGGAGCAATTTTTGTGAAACCATGCATAATTGAAAAATTGGTGTTATTTTCAAATGTGAGTTCCTTCGTGGGACCAATGCAGCACACACAGCTCGAAATATCATCAAAGTGTCTGCGAAGGATGTGGCTAATGACTGCACAGTACGTCGGTGGTGTGAAAAGTTCTGTTCTGGTGATTTCAATCTTGAAGATGAGCCATGTGGGTGACCTGAGACCAAGGTGGATGATGATGAGCTGAAAGCTGTAGTGGAAGCGAATCCATCTCAACCTACAAGTGAATTAGCAGTGAGGTTTTATATTACTATTCCAACAATATTAGCCCATTTGAAACAAATGCGCAAGGCAAAGAAGCTGGATAGATGGTTCCACATGAATTATTAAATAAGCATCAGAAAAGAAATCATCTCAAAGCTTGCTTGTCTTTGCTGTCATGACATAAAGGTGAACCATTTCTACACCATATTGTTACATGTGATCAAAAATGGATCCTTTCTGACAATCGCAAGCATTTGGCACAACGGTTGGATAAAGATGAAGTGCTGAAACACAGTCCAAAACTGAATACTCACCAAAAAAAGCTCATGGTGTCTGTTGGGTGGTCCAGCCCTGGTATTATCCACTACAGCTTCATGAAACCTGGTCAGTCGATGACAGCGGATGTCTACTGCAACCAGTTGGATGAAATCATGAGGATGCTCACGATTAAGCAGCCACGATTGGTCATTAGAGACAGACCAATCCTCTTGCATGACAACCCTCGACCACAAGTCGTCGCACAAACAATGCTGCTCAAACTACAGAGGCTGGACTTGGAAACTCTCTGTCATCCACTGTATTCACCAGACCTTGTGCCAACTGCCTACCACTTCTTCCAGGCTTTGGACCACTTCTTGCAAGGAAAAATATTCAATCCTCAACAAGCTGTGGAAAATGCCTTTGGCGATTTTATCGCCACTGGCTCTCCAGGCTTCTTCGCTGCTGGCATAAACAAGCTACCGTTAAGATGGCAAAATTATTGGCAGTTTAGGCGCGCACTTTGATTAATTGTCTTGCTTCTCGTTTGAGATATAATAAACTACACTTTTGATTCGAAATCGGACATTTCATATTTAGTGACCTAATACTTCTTTTTGTTGTGGAGAGGGTCTTGGGAGTGGCAGGGAGAGCTGACACGCCTGCTTCCTCCCTCCCGGCCACCCCCAGCCCTGGAGGTGCTCTGTCCCCCTCTCCGGGACTCTGAGGGCTCCTTGGGGTTTCCAGGCCTCCAGGCTCTGGTGTTGGGAATGCCTGGCCCTCCTCGGCTTTGGTCACAGAGCAGGAGGCCCTGGGGACTCCTTGGTTGTGCACCTACACGTTTGCAGGTAAAGTAGCTGAGGACCACCTGCCGCGGCTGGCTGGGGGCTGAGTTCCAGAGGAACTCAGGCCTCCTCATCTCCAATGGGAAGAAAAGCATCTTGGTTGTGAGGTAGGGACTCGAGGCACAGGTGCTTTTGGGAAGCTGCCCATGCCCCTCCTTTGGGGAGAGATGGCATTTGTCAGTGCAGCTCAGGTGTGAAGCTAGGTGGACAGCTCAGGACTTTGAGACCGCGCAGCTGAGAGAGCGTCCCGGACCGTGTCAGCAGTGCCTCTGTGAGGTCCCGCAGAGGAGCCACACATGACTATTTAAATAATTCAAATGATGTGGAATCCAAAATCCAGCTCATGCATCATGGCTGCCACGTTCCAAACGCTGAGCAGCCACACAGACGGTGCTGGACAGCGTCATCTTGGCAGAGTCTTCCGGGGTCTCCATGCGTGGCCTCCAGGCCAGCCTGTCCTAGCAAGGTGTTAACGAGGACGCTCCGCAGGCACTGTCCAGACCCGCGGGGCAAGCTCGGGGGGGCCCAGCCCCCTATCTCCCAGGTCTCCAAGGGGCCTGATGCGGCTCAAGCTTGAGGACCACTGTCTGAGTCATCTGGGGAGTATGTTGATGATTCGGTTTCATTTCTGTGGCCAGGCTGTTTAGTTTCATTTCTCTCACTGTTGGTCACGGGTCCGGGGAGGGAGTGGCTCCCACACCACATAAAAGGGAAGCAGAGGGAGGGAAGGAGGTGATGAGCCTGGCCTCTGTCCGAACGTGCACAGGTAAGAGTGGGGCCCGCGCGGGGAGGGCTGCTTCACGTCTGGGTGCAGCAGATGTGCCTTTAAAAGCATTTCCTGAGTGACATGACATTTGCCTGGTGAACTTGGCTCGAGCCAGAAGGCAGGGGCCATGGAGGTAAGTTTCCGATGCTGCCTGGTGGGAGAAGCAGGAAAGGCTGGGTCGGCACCGGCCACGGCAGGCCTGCGTACGGCAGGAAGGTTCCGGCAGGGAGGCAGCTGGCCTTGGGGCACAGGGTGGCCTCCAGCCCGAATCTGGCCACAAAGGGGTGGCTTTGGGGGTAGCTTTGCTCAGGGTCCTACAGAGTCTGGGTGGGTGGGGAGCTTTGTGCCCCAAAACCTGGTCTCTGGGGGCTCCGGGTGCCGCTCCTCTGGTGGTGTTTGTGGTACAGTGACATGATGTGTTGGGAAACTGGCTGCCACGTGGCGGAGCAGGGCGAGGTTGGGACCTGACCTCCAGCATTTGCCCATTCTCAGGGTGTAGTTACTCCCACCATGGCGGTCCCAGCCCCCGGGCCACCTGCACTCGGGGCTGAGGTCCCTTTTAGAGCTGAGACAGAGCAGAAAGGAGACTGGGTGATGTTGATGACACTGTTCTTTCTCATGGCATTTAGAATTTTGTCCCTAGTGGTTTGAAAAGGAGCAGGGCTCCAAGCCACCCTTGCTTGCTCTCTGTCCCCCTTTCACGCCACTGTACCTTCTCTCCCCGTAAGGAGCGCTCGGGCCTCCTAACCCAGGATGCGATCTCGACCGAGGTCCGTGCATGTCCTCCAGCTCCTGGAGGACCTCTGTCTGCTTGACTCACATACATGTCCCAAGGACTCGGGTTGCTCAAGAAATATCCTTGAGTGAGTGGATGAATAACAACCGAATATTAAAAAACAAAACAAAACAAAAAAAAAACCAAGGAGACTAGTGTGGGGAGATAAGGCTGGTCTGTGCCTGTGGTTGGGCAGCCGTTACCCCGCACCGTGCGGGCGATGCTGGGCTGGAGCGAAGGGACCCGGCAGCGTGACCCTGGCAGTGCTCCTGGAGCCAGCGGTGGTGGACGTGCCCGTGCGGGAGACACAGATCGCCTTAACCTCAGCAGGTTCTGCACGTCCCTCACGGCCGTTTGCACCTTTCGGAGGAGTGGGGTTTGCTTTATCCTTAATCAAACTTCCCAACTGAGCGGGGGAATGTGTACTTTTGTCCTCTGATTGCAAGCCCCGGGGAGTGATGGCAGGTGCAGGGCAGAGAGCTCCGGAGATCCGACTCCCAGCTCCGCCGACCTAGGACCTTGGCTTCCCTTGGTGGCCCCGCTTCCTCATCTACAGGATGGGCAGGTCCCCCGCCCTCTCTACCTCACAGGCTCTCTTGAGAATCCGGGGAGATGATAGAAGCAAAACCATCCTGGGTGCCAGAAGGGTTCTGCCCACATGTGGGGTGTCAAGGTGTACCAGTCACAAATTCCCCCGTACTTCTCACCACCTCCGCCCAACCTCCTCACCCAGCACCGCCCTCTCCGAGGCCCCGGCTTGGAAACCACCAGCTTTCTGCACCTTCCCCCACCAGGGCCTCCCTTTCCAGCGGTCCCTGGAGAGAGGGACTCTCTTTGCAAAGTGCTTTCGAATCGCAAAGTATGGCTTTAAGCGCATGTAGGGAAATCACCTCCACTTTGTAGTTTTGGGACTTTTTCCAGCCCTTGATGGGGATAAATACAGGGACAAGGCTGAGCTTCTCAAAATCCCTCTCGCTGCCCCTGGGGCCCCTGGTGGAAGATGGAAGGGCAGGACTGGGCACGGCACAGGCATTGTCAGGCTCAGGCTTCCCAGACGTACACAGCGGGGCCGGGGCGCCTTCCTGAACACTCCAGGAGGTAGGACCATGGGGCTTCTTTTCCTCCTGTTACTCCCAGTCATTACCCACCCGTGATGGGCTGAACTATGTCCCCCGAAATTCATATGTTCAAGTCCTGGCCCCCAGAACCTCAGAATACGACCTTGTTTGGAAATAGGGTCTTTGTAATTAAGGTGAGGATGGAGTACAGTAGGGGGCGACCTAAGCCAATATGACTGGTGTCCTTACGAAAAAGGGAAATTTGGACGGGGCCACACACGCGGTCTGCTTCCTGCTTCTCACTCAGCCTGGACCGGCCTCCGCCGTCCTCCCCGTCCTCCCGTCGCGCACACACCCGCTCGCTGCTCCAGTATGGGCCAGTCCTGCAGTGTTGGCTCCCACAGCAGAGATTCTCAAACCTTCTTCATTCAGGGTGCCCTGAGTGTCTCAAGGATTCACTTATGGTACCCCCTGCCCATGGGAAATACCTAACCATTCTAGTTATTCACTGGGTGGGCCCAAATAACTCAGTAAGAGTAGGCTGAGTGGTGTCCAACAGATGCCCCATGTACCCCTGGGAAATTTTAATATCCCACAGTGCCCTGTGAGTTTGCTGGAGTACCCCCGGGCGCCTCGAGGCACAGTTTGGGAATCACAGTCTTGCAGTCTTTGTTCTCCTGCATGTCATTTAAGGGGCTTGTCTATGGCCTAGGAAATCTCACCTACGTAATCAGGGTGCTGTCGCCGTGGACAGGCCAGGCTGTCCGTGTGGGACGAGGTCTGAAGCCCTAAGATTCCGACCAGTGCTCTTCCTCTCAATGAGGCTGCCCCGCCTCCCGTTCCTCCAGCTGGTCTCCGGCCAGGTAGCTGTGAGAAATATCGCGAGAGTCAAGTTTGGGGACAGTCACGGAGGCCGGGCTCAGGTTGCACGTCCTGAGCTCGTGGTGTCCGTGGCCCAGGCAGGCAAAGAACTCGGGTGCCATGACTTGGCTGCAGGTCCAACCAGAACCCCCAGCCCTGTCCTCATGCCAGCAAGGCAGACAACACGGAGACCGTCTCGAGGAACCCATCACTGCAGGTGACCAAGGGCACAGTCAGAATCCCAGGCACGGTGCAGCGCCACTCTCTCCTTCCCCTGCAGCCCTCCTCCTGCCCTCCCGTCTCCGCTCTCCCTCAGGGCGCTGCTTCTTCCCTGGGGCCTGGGGCGGGGCCTCAGTGACACTTGCGCAAGGCCGGCTTCCTCTTGTCCCCCCTGGTCGTCCCTGGCGCCTAGCACTGCGCTCTAGTCCTTTCTTTCTCCATCTTATCAAAGATCAGTTCTATGCTCCGAACTTGGTGTGACCCTGGTGCCCGATTGTGCCACACAGGAAACCCAGGTGTTGGTGTTTCTCAGCACTGTTTTCAGTTCCTCTTTCTCGTCAAGTCAAGGTCTGCGGGCTTGTGTTTGCCCCGGGCTCCGGAAGCTCTGCCTGGGGGCAGAAGCCTAGAGGAGCAGCCGCGGGCAGCGAGTGCTCAGGCAGGGCAAGGCGTGGGGCCCCTGTGCCTCGGCCTCCCGACTTCCCTTCCCTGGGGCCTGTGCGTGTGACCCTAGTTCCACCCGTCCACGCGCCCCCTGGGTCCTGCGTGTCCCCGGGGCCCAGAGGCTCCCTAGAGAGTCCACTCGCGCAGATGCACCGTAGACATTCCTGAAGATTTGTAGGGGACACGGAGGGTTCACAAGGCACACGGCACACACGGCTCAGCCTGAACCCTGCCCCCTTGCTCAGCCAGCCCGTGTCGGAAGATCCTAGACCAAGCGGGGAGGGGCACCAAGGGGCTCCTCGTCCTCTCCTCGGTGCTGCGCCGCTGCTCACCCCTGCCTCCCCCCTCACACAACTCACGCCTTCAGATTCTCGCTGCTTTTTTGCAGAGCAGTCTGTGTCCAGCCTGTCCCCCCAGACTTGCCTGCCCAGCCCGTGGGGCTGCTGAGCTGGACCCGCCTACCCCAAAAACAGGGTGAGGGTGGCGACTGCTAAATATCCAAAGCAAAGAGCAAGCAGCCAAGACGTCTGTTCTTCACACGAAGCTCTCCTCTCCCTCGTTCTCTCTTCTCATGAAGGGGAAAAAACGTCAAAGCTGAGTTGGACATCACTCCTGCCAGCATCAATTTTGGTTTTTTATTTTTTTTTTAATTTCAGAATATTACGGGGGGTATAAAAGTTTTGGTTACATAATTTGCTTTTGTACAGTTTGAGTCAGAGCTGTCAGTGTACCCATCACCCAGATGGTGTGCATTGTACCCCTTAGTTTTGTCCCTGGGCCCCGACTTCACCCCTAGGGAGCCCCCACTCTCCGCCTCTGGAGGGGTAGGTGGCTGGGAGGTCGGAGCCCCAGGCTCACCAGACAGCTGGGCCCAGCGGGGCCACCTCAGGGTGGGCTGCTGGGCCCTGGCCAAGCCCCTCTTCTGTTGCCCCCGGAGAAGGTTTCCCTGCAGGGCTGGGAGCTGTTTGCACCAACTTTAAATAGCCTCATCCCTCAGCCATCCCAAACAATTGCCGCCTTGCCCTTCGGATTTTATGGTTCTCACACCAGGAAACTTTTCTGAAAACAAGAACTGCTTTAGGCCCCAGTGGGAAGAGGGGGCTGGGGAAGCCGGGCTGGAGGATGGGGGTGAGGGGTGGCAGCTGTGGGGCTCTCGACACTGGTCTTGCCTCTGAGCAGGTGTGGGCACCCGGGTGGGGGCGTCGAACCCAGGAGCCACCTGCTCCAACAGGAATGTTGGCAGGTCTCTGGACTGCTGGGCTGAGGCTGACGCATAGGGAGACGGAGACCGAGGCCAGGCGGGTGCTCGGGAGGCGTTAGAAAGAAATAGGCTCAGAGCAAAGCTTCGTGCAGAGAGGGGCAGCCAGGCCAGTGCAGAGGGGACACGCAGGCTGGGCAGGACAATGGGGAAGGTTTTAAGCCCCAAAGTGCAAACAGCCTCATCCAAAGAGACAGGGCTGCCGCCCGCCCATCGGGGGCACTCTGCCTTCGTCCAGGCCTGCCTGCCCCGGCAGAGCCAGGCCTCCGTCGGGCTCGCGTGTGGATGTGGGATCGCGGGCAGCGGGAGTGGGACCTCGGCAGGGGAGCAGGCAGGGGGACGGTCCATACAGCAGTCCCACTAGGACGACTGGGCTCCGTCCCCTGTGGCCTCCTGAGGAGCCGTGCAGGAGCGTGTCCGTCCGGGAGGTGGCAAAGAGCAAGGTCATCCACAGGCCCCCAGGGTGGGAGTTGCCCGGGGTTAACTTCCTGCTCCTCCAGGCTGCGCTGAAAGCCAGCAGGGGTGGCAGGTGCTTTGAGGGAGAACTCTGGTTGTGTGAGACACAGTCCTACAGAGCCTGCAGCCTATGGCTGCACGTCCCAAAGCCCCAGGACTCTGGCCATGTGTGGACCTTGCTTTCATGCCTTTCTCTTGTCCACACTGTGTCCTTTGTTGTACGTGGTCTCCTGGTCTACGTGAACCTCCATCACACCACTCCCCAGCTCAGATCAAAGGCTGCCTGGGGCCCTATCTACATCTTCCAGTCGTTTGCCCTTCCTTCCTCTGCTTAGTCACATGGGCTGTCTTCTGACCTCAGGACATTTGCACGTGCTTTTCCTCTGCTGAGAAGGCTGTTCCCCAGTTCCTCCAAGGTTTGTTCCTCTGCCCATCTCATTTCCTGTTCACAGGCACACCCTCCGAAGGACACACGGGGTCGGGCTGGGTGAGTCAGGATGGGGAAGGTTCCTGCCCAAAGCCCAGACCTGGCCCCCAGTCCTGACTTGGGCCAATTACTGGACCTCCCAGATATCAGTCTCTTGCCCTGGAAAATGCACATAAGGAGAGAATGTGTAGGCTTGTCGCAAAAGTCAAATGTGTGTCTTAGCATGGTGCTGGGTGAGCCCAGCACTCAGTGCTGCCAGCTGATTTTAACAATGTGACTCCATCTGAGCGAGGCCACAGCCCGAGAATTGTGAGACTCAGACAGGTACTTCCACCAGCAGCCTGACCAAGCCTGGGTGTGAGACGGTGACCACGGGGCCTGGGCTGGCTTCAGGCAGGCCTGAGAGGTGCTAGCTGTCATCTGTCCACGGCTGAATGTTCTCCTGCCTGGTCCTGAGCCACAGAGGGGCTGACACCATGGATGGCAAAGACCATCAGCGGTGACAGAGGGACACTGAGACTCTGCCCTGGAACATGGGGTCCACTGCCCTGGGCCCGTGGAAACCCTACTTGTGCTCCATGGCTGCCAAGAGCCCCTCCTGCGGACGGGAGGCCTGTGCGGGGCTGATTTGGCGCCGTGTGCAGGGGGTGAGCTGTAGGGTGGGGTGAGGAGGGGCTGGCAAAGGAGTGGACTGTCGTGGGGGAACTTCCTGGTGACCTGTGGGCCACTATCCCGCCTTATGTCTTTGCAGAGCTTGTCAGGAAGATTACAGTAACTGAAACAGCAGATGTCTAAGGTCCACAGAAGGAAAAGTACACTTTCTCACCAACACCATCCAAACCCAGAAATGAGTTTCTGCCAGCAGCCATTTGGCGGCGAAGCACCAAGACAAAAGACGTCTACCCCAAACTGCCAGGCGGCAGGGGAGAAGGACACTGATTTCCTCACCAAGGACTTCGACTTCCTAAGCATGAACAATGAGTCGTCACCAGGAAACCAGAGCCAAGCGAGCACAAAGGTAAGTCCAGCATAGGGACGACCGGGCAGGGCGCATCCCGCCGCCAGTGCAGGTGGCCGGCGGGTAACCGAGCCAGCCAGCCTGCCCCCCACACTTGCCTGGTCACGTCCATCAGGGACCAAGGACGTTCTCAGACTGTTGCAGCGAGTCGCCGCTGAGCCGGGGGTCTGGGGCTTCTGCTCTGTGTGCTGGGGCTTGGCCTCCCAGTGTCACCACTGCTGGCCCACCCACTCCCCCTCCTCGCTCCGCAGCCCAAGGCCAGCTCCTGCCCTCCCTCTAGCCCCACCTCCATCCACAGCCCCTCCCTGCAGCATCGCAGAAGCTAGGTCTCAGGCGACAGAACACAGGGGCCCCCCGTTCACCTCCTCCCCCTCTGCCTGCGACCCGGTGTCACGGCTGCACAGATCCTGCCGCGTCCTCCACGGCAGTGGGACCCCCATCAGAGACCGAGACAGTGGCATCTCTTCTGCCTTCTCCAGGGGCCCGAGAACAACCTGTACGACCAGTACGAGGAGAAGGTGCGCCCCTGCATCGACCTCATCGACTCCCTTCGGGCCCTGGGCGTGGAGCGGGACCTGGCCCTGCCGGCCATCGCCGTCATCGGGGACCAGAGCTCGGGCAAGAGCTCCGTGCTGGAGGCGCTGTCAGGGGTCTCCCTTCCCAGAGGCACCGGTAAGCTCCGCAGCCAGTGACAGCCACCTGACAGCCACAGAGCATCCTTGGGGTGCAGCGTGGTGTTGAAGAAGGGCCTGGCAGCGGGGTCTCGGTGGGGCGGCAGGCCTGACGCCCTTCTCATTTACAAAGCCCCGGCTGCCCGGGGATCACCAGGGTCCAGGGACCTTGCTCTCTCTCTAGTGGTCTTTGTAAGAACGTAGAAGCATTTCTTCTTTGATCAGGTTAAATTGGGAAGTTTTAGGTGACACATGAAGCCTTTTTAAAGCATACTGCCAACGTTTTGGAAAACCCTTAGCCAGGATCACGGTGTCATTGGCATGGTCATGGTGTAATATGACACCATGGTCCTGTGTGTGTAGAGCGGAGAAGCTGCTGTCCGTTTGTGATTTAACGAAATAACGATAAAGGAGAAAGGCAGGGGGTGAGATCCCCAGAGTGGGCATTGGAGAGTACAGCGAAGGGGTCTTCACAGTGGGTAGGCAAGTGAGGGGAAGCTGGCAGGAGGGAGCAGTTTCCAGACTCCGAGAGGGAGCAGAGGGAGCCCCATCCCTTCTCCCCCCACTCCTGCCAGCGGTGCTCAGCCCCGAACCCAACCAGAGCCCAGGGCTGCAGGTCCCGACACGGCAGGGTGGGGTGGCGGAGGGCTGCCCCGACCTACCCGGTCCCCAGCAGCAACTGCAGGGCTGAGGGCCTCGCCCTGCCACCTGCAGCCTGGTCCTTTCCCTGGCGCGTCCAGTAAGATCCCTCAGCCCGGGCCCTGAGGCAGGAGACAGCAGATTCTGGGCTCAGCATTTTGGGGAGAGAAACAACAGGACAGGGAGTCTGAATGCCAGAGGGCAGGCAAGTCCCCAGGCCGGAACATGAGGCTAATACCTCCCATGGCCAGGGTGTACAGGGGCAGGTACCAGGGCTTCACAGCAGGCGTGTGGTCTGCCGGCCCCAGCCCCAGCCTTTCCCGGCTCCCAGTGTTAGTGTGGGGAGCGTCGGGGGGGCGTTGGGGGCCCCACACCTTTGCATTCCCTCTGTCCCCCTTCCCTGGGCCACCCACCAGGACCCTCACCGGGCCAGCAGACACCCAGCCGCGGGGGGTGCTGGGGGTGGGGGGTGCGCTGGAGCCCCAGAATCTGCTCGTGTCACTTATAGAGCAGTGGGTGGGCCCTTGAGGATGGCAGCGCCTCCCAGAGCCCTGTGCCCCCTGGCACCTGCCCAGTGCGACCCCTCGTACCACTGGGCCCCAGGAAGGGCCAGAGAGTTCAGACAAGGCCTTTGGGGACACCAGGGCAGGTCCCGGGAGGTGCATTCAGAGGGACCAGAGCCATTTCTTTTAAAGCACACTTACGAGGTTTGGGGAACTGTCTCTCAGGAATTATAACCAGGTGTCCCCTGGTGCTGAAGCTGAAAAAGCAGCCCAGTGAGCTTGGCTGGGTGGGAAGAATCAGCTACCAGAAGACGGAGCTGGAGCTGCAAGACCCCTCCGAAGTGGAGAGGCAGATTCGCCAAGGTGAGCCCCCGCAGTTCCACTCTGGGCAGCTGCTGCCCTCGTGCCCGCCGCCCCACCGTCCCCGACACGTGCACTCCCGCACGGGGTCACCGCCGCCACCACCCCGCCAGGCTCTGTCCGGGCCACTCTCATGGAGCTGCCCCCTGCTAAAGACCCTCTCGTGGCTTCCCTCCGACGGTGGCCACAGCCCACTGGCAGGCCGGCCCCGTCCTCCCCCCACCACCTCCCCATGGCCCGCTCAGGCCTCCTTCCCTGCACAAGAGAACTTGCCCTCTCCTCCTTCTAGGCTTTTCCATGAGCTCCCCCCCAGCCTGGCACACTTTCCCTTCTTGTCACCTGCCCGTCCCCACTCGTCCTTTGGATCTCAGTTCTCCTGCCCCTCCCTGGGCAGTCTCCCCGCAGGACCCCTGGTCCCGCCCCGGCTGCCCAGGTCGTCAGCTCCAACCCTGGCCACGTTAGAGGCCTCCGCCCAGCCCCCGCACACATGGACCTTGCCCACCGCCATTCCTGTGAGCACAGCCAACACCGTGTTGAACGAAGTCTGCCGATGCCTGTATGGGCATCCACAGCATTACAGATCAGCTCAGTTGCTCCCGAAATCCGTGGCCATACCCTCTGGGGGGCCCCTGCTCGTCACCCCCTCCCAGGACGCAGCCCTGCCCGCCGCAGGCACCGGAGCCCCTCACCCCTCCCTACCAGTCTTGTCCTGCTTTCATGACCCCTCCCTGGGCTCAGGGGGATAAGCAGAAAATAATCTGAATGTGCCAGGAATCTCTGCGGGGAGGAACCCAGTTCAAGGCAGGCGTTTGCATTTCTGAACAGCAAACTCAGTATCTGAGAAGGGTCCTTTACACCTGCAGTCCCCAACCCCCAGGCCAAGGACCGGTGCTGGTCTGTGGCCTCTTGGGAACTGGGTCACCTGAGAGCTCTACCTGCTCCCTATCCCTCTGTTCCCCCCACCCCCCATCTGTAAAATTGTCTTCCATGAAACTGGTCCCTGGTGCTAAAAAGGTTGGGACCCTGCTTTACAGGACCTCCCGGGTTCAGCCCTTCCCTGAGAACCCCCGTCTGCCCGCGTCAAAGGGCTCTCCGGAGGGATCCCTTCCCAAATCGAAAAGTTCTGCCCCCAGTTTCAATTCAAATACAGAAGCTGCTGGAGACCCCCCAGTCGGCAAGTTTTCTAACCTCACATTGTAAAGGTCTGCACCCTGGCTGTGCCCACTGCAGCCACCATGGTGCCCCCAGCTCCTCTTGCAGCATTTGTTGGCATCGTCTGGGGTCTCTCCAGCATGGCTCTGTGGGGCACACTGGCTAAAGGTTTGGGGTAAGAGTGAACAATGAGCAAACCACAGCCAGGGCATCTCTAGAATACCATCCCCAGAGGCTGAGCATGGTGGCTCACGCCTGTAATCCCAGCACTTGGGGAGGCCGAGGCGAGAAGATCGCTTGAGCTCAGGAGTTCGAGACCAGCCTGAGCGAGAGCAAGACCTGTCTCTACTAAAAATAGAAAAAAAAAATTATCTGGGCAACTAAAAATAGAAAAAATTATCTATTTGGGCATAGTGGTACACACCTGTAGTCTTAGCTACTTGGGAGGCTGAGGCAGGAGGATCACCTGAGCCCAGGAGTTTGAGGTTGCTGTGAGGTGGGCTGATGCCACGGCACTCTAGCTTGGGCAACAGAGCGAGAGTCTGTCTCAAAAAAAAATTAAAATTTTAAAAAGTTAAAAAATTTAAAAAAAAGAATAGCATCCCAGAACCCCCTCCACTGCTGCTAGGAAGTAAGTTCTGCAGCCACTTTGGCAATCTCCACTGAAGCTGTTGGCAGGAGGCCATCATTCCTCACCCCGTGGACTTCTCCAAGCTCCTCGGTGTCCCTGCGACATGGTGGCTAGCTCCCCTCAGGGCAAGCCATCCAAGAGGGGGCGAGGAGGAAGCCTGTCACCTCCACCGTATTGATTTGTTAGAAACAAGTCCCCCTGTCCAGCCCACACCTGAGCCTCCACCTTTCGGAGGGAGGAGTGTTGAGGAATTTGTGGACATGTTTTAAAAGCACCGCAGCATGCACTGGGAAACGTTGAAAAGCGTGAAGAGAGAGAACAGAACCCGTCCCCGGTCCCGTTGCTAACATGTCAGTGTGTTTCCCTTGGAGCACACACACACACAGGTGGCCTCCAGGATGGGTCTGCAGGCTTCTGTGAAATGTGTTCTAAACACTGGGGACTCTCTGGAGTTCGCGTTCCCCAGAAACAAGCCGGCACTCGCGTTCAGGAGCAGCCACTTTCCCTCGCAGGGGTCACTAATTTGGACTCTGGGTTCCCCATCTCGGCCTCCGCAGCCCAGGTCATCCTGGCCGGGAACGGCACTGGCATCAGCCACGAGCACATCAGTCTGGAGATCAGCTCCCCCGAGGTTCCAGATCTGACCCTCATTGATCTTCCTGGCATCGCCAGGGTCGCTATGGGCAACCAGCCCCAGGACATCGGATACAAGGTGAGCCTTTCTGGAACGTGGGAACAGGCCAAGTTGACATGGGGGAGACTCTAAGGTGTCTGCCTGCAGCCCCAAGGGCCCCGGTGTGCTCCCCGAGCCCCGAGCCTAGACACTGAGTAACGGGGGAGGAGCCTGGGCTAGGGCTGCCCCGGCGGGGGCCTCCTGCTCAGGTTCCGACTTGGGCGTGGCAAGTCCTGGAGACAAAGAGGGGAACGGGACAGACTGGCAGGCGCATAGGACGGCTCACTTCCTGTCCAGCACTGTCACACGGGAATGTGGGCCCCGTGCTACCAGCTGTCCTGATATTAGAAAGAGGGCAGAAATTTGGATTTTTACATGAAATCTGCCCATTTTACCAAAAAAAATTTTAAATTAATATTACGTGAGTGAGAACATGGCCTGTGATCTCTGGCCGGGCACGGTGGAGAGGGATCACGGCCGTAGCAGCAGCAAGGACACACAGAAACCCACAGCCTGGCTGTGTTGGGAGCCACCGAGCCTGCGGCTTCTCTGCCAGTGGCCTTTCTGTCAACCCTGTCCTCGCTGGGATGCTGGGATGCCTGAACCACACGTGGTCCCGAAACACTTGTGCACATCCTTTGTTTGGGCCAGGGCCAGTCCAGCACTGTCGAGGTCTGCCAAGCTGCTCACGTGGAAACCAGGGAGACAGAATGGTCTCGGGAGCAGGGTGGACTCCAGGGCAGGGGAGTGTGGGGAGAAGATGAGCCCTTCCTGCCCTAGGACGGGGGTCACCTGCCTCGCTTCTTCCATTTTAGGGGGGCCACGGCCAGTGTTGGGAACCCAACCAGGGACGGATTACCGGGTGGCAGCTCCAAGAGCATGCTGGGTGGGGTCACTGCTAGCTCTATTGTTCTGGGCAAAATCTTGGACAGTTAAATTTTGCTTTTTACCGCAACATCCAAATCCATTCTCCATCTCTCTAGGGGCAGGGTAATTAGCTCATTTCCCTTACTGAGTTAAGCGACTAATCCCACACTTTTTAGCCCTCCTAGGAGGGTGGCTGAGTCAGCCGTCGAATTGGAGGGATTTCCTAGAGAAGGGAAGGGTCCTTGCATGCCGTGGGAACACGCAGCTTCCACCTGCCACTCCATCCTCTCCTCTGTTGGGGTCCACGTGACTTGTTCGAGAACACCTCGATCTCAAACAATTGCATCAAAAGCAAGTTGGTTGAGATGGCAAAGTAGTGCCGGTGCTTTAAGTGTTGGAAAAATGTGTCACAGTGTCTCCAAGCTTTTCGTTTGTGTTTCAGAATTATTAAAGGCTTTGTTTCTCTACATTCTGCTCCTTCTGATTTTCAGCTCACTGTTCCCGCCACGCACCCTATGGGACCGGTTAGTCACTAACCGCGCGTTATGATGCAGTGGGTACAGCCGGCTCACGGTTTCCAAACCTTCACCTGGAGTTTAGAAAGAATGATAGCTAATGAAGTTGCAGGGTGTGGAAGCACTGCCAAATCAACGAGAAAAGCATTTTATAGAAATTAATTAGGAAAAATATCTTAGCCTAAGTTTCTTTCTTTAATTCTTACTTAAATCCTTACAAAAAGAATGTGTTTGGTTGTTGAAATTACCAAGTTAGAACTCAAAGGATAGACGTTATTTTGCATCACACTCCTGCTAACACTGGGCATGTATGTCCCTGCAAGTGGTTTTCTATGGGGAGCACCTGATGTTTGGAAATCCTTCATAATTACTAAATTGATTGCTTTATAAGTCACTTCCAATCATTTCTGGTTGGTCACCTAGTTTCCTGTCTTCCCTCTATTGTGACAACAGTAACAGTGAAGCAGGGCTATGCAAGAAAAGTGACTTAAAAACACTTTATATGACAAACATGATAAAATTCTCTTGTTATTCACTAAAATTTGAGGATTTTTGCATCTACGTTCATCAGGGACATTGGCCTGTAGTGTTCTTTTTTTTGTTGTATCCTAGTTTGATTTTTGGTATCAGGGTTATGCTGGTCTCATAGAATGAGTTAAGGAGAGTTCTATCCACGTCAATTTTTTGGAATAGTTTGAAAAGAATTGGTAATATTTCTTCTTTAAGTGTTTGCTAGAACTCAATGGTAAAGCCATCTAGTCCTGGACTTTTCTTTGTTAGGAGATTATTACTGATTCAATCTCGTTGCTCAGTATTCGTCTGTTCAGATTCCCTATTTCTAGATCCCTGGATGCGTACAATCTTTGTAGGTTGTATGTGTCCAGAAAATTATCCATTTCCTCTAGGCTTTTGAATTTACTGGCATATAGTTGTTCTTTGAGTTAGTATTTCTGTAGCATCCATTGTGATGTCTCCTTTCTCATTACTGATTTTATTTATTTGAGTCTTCTCTTTTTTTCCATAGCTGTCAAGCTAAAGGTTTGTCGATTTTGTTTATCTTTTCAAAAAGCCAACTTTTGTTTTGTTGATCTTTTGTATTGTTTTTTAGTCTCAGTTTCATTCATTTCTGCTCTGATCTTTATTATTTCTTTTCTTCTATTAATGTTGGGTTTGCTTTGTTCTTGCTTTTCTAGTTCCTTGAGATGCATCATTAAGTGATTTATTTGAAATCTTTCTAGTTTTTGGATGTAGGCATCTACTGCTAGAAACTTGCCTCTAAATGCTGCTGTTGCTGTGTCCTATCGGCTTTGGGGTTGGGCACACAGGGCTGTTACACTGGCCAGGGAAACAATGGACAGTTGCTTGCCCAGCCTGGGGCGTGCCTGCCAGGTGGCTGCTGGGATGGACCTCTGCACATGCTCTGGCCGCCTGCGTTTCCACCTGGGAAATTCCGTTTCCTTCAGGTTTCTGCTCCAACGCCACCTGAGCAGGTCCGCCTTCCCTGGCACACCGTACCCTGTGCCTGGCCCTCCCAATTCCATTTAGCCTCCCTAATGTGCCTCCGCATTGAGTTTTCAGTGCTGGCACCCCCTGCTGGAATGTAAGGCCATGGGCACCATATAGTCAACGTCCCTGTACGTTCAATGCTGAATCTCCAGATCCCAGAATGGGCCCAGCACCTGGAGCGCACCTGGTGACTGCTGCCCGCATAGAATATGCTGTTTATGATGCTCCCTTCTCCGCGCAGTCTGTTCTGGGGAGGAGCCGTCACTTCCCAAGACCCTACACAAATGCACACAAATGAGTGCACGTTTAATACAGTGATTCCCAGCCCACGGCTGTTTTACCCCAAGGGCACACTGGCAATGTCTGGAGATATTTTGGGTTGTTACAACTCAGGTAGCAGGTGGGGTTTGCTGCTGATGTGGATGCTACTGGCATCCAGTGGGCAGAAGCCAGCGAGGTTGCTCGACATCGTACAGAGCCCAGGGCGACACCCACAGCAAAGAGCCATCCTTCCGAATTGTCCATAGTGCCGGAGTAGATCCCTGGATCACGTGGCCCGTTCACTGGCGGACATCAGTGGGAAAAGCCACGCCCGTGTAGCAGAGGGAAAAAGCACAACTGAGAGGATAACCTTTAACTTCAGGACTATTAACATTAAAGCTTGCTTATAAAGGCTGCTGATAACCTTGCCCAGGTACATTTTCTCATGGCCAAAGCTTACTTGGAACTGTTTATATTTGCCGTTTTATTTGACTCCAGCACTTAATTTCCTATGTGTTGCTAGGTTGTGCTGACGTGATGCAGAGTTTCTGTTTTCAGCTGTGCAGAATTATCTTGTTTGCAACTTAAAATAACAGTATGGGACATTGACCACAACAATGTATAAGTTGTGCCAAAATATAAGAAAATATGTCCCAAGATGCAAGCCTTTTCTATGTCTGTTTGAATTGCCTGTGGGGAAAAAAACAATATCAAAACTAATGTTCTAAGGCTTATTATGTTCCCACGTCTCCTGTTTGCCTACAAATTCTAAGAAATGTCATTGAATTTCCCTAATTTGAATGAGCTGGGCTCCTTTAAGAACAAATCGCAGGTAAAAAGTTATTAATATTAGGAGTAAACATGTGTAGCGATACTGTCGACATCAGAGACTTGAGTGGCCCGCTGCTAGAAAAACCGGGTGGGGGGCAGGCATTGCTCTCCTGAGCACCTGCTGTTTGGGACGCCGTGCTGGACTCTGTAGGAGGGCACTGGGACAAATAAGACGTCACTGATGGCCACAAAGGCATCTCTGGGCTTCTGGGGCAGATACAACATGTGCACAAATCACTCTAACGAAAGGCAGAATCTCGGGCGAGATCTGGAGAGGAAGGAGGGAATCGGAGTCTGCAGGGAAGAGAAGGAGCCAGGGATGGGCTTTGAAGGGTAAACGGGAAAGCAGCAGAGGCCAGGGCAGCTGGTGGCAGACATTCCACAGGAAGGGGATAGGCCAGGCAAAAGTGCGAGGTCACACTCTGGGGCAGCACTGCTTTTGTGCCATCACGCCCGTCTGTCAACTGCATTGTTGGATGACCAGAGGTAAGACGTGTGCTTTCTTTCTCTGTGTGATCCTTTGGCACCAGATCAAGGCGCTCATCAAGAGCTACATCCAGAGGCAGCAGACAATCAACTTGGTGGTGGTTCCCTGTAACGTGGACATCGCCACCACGGAGGCACTGAGCATGGCTCAGGAGGTGGACCCCAACGGGGACAGGACCATAGGTAAGAAGAAAGAACCAAGCTTCCAGGGGACAGGAAGGGAGGGAGAGGCTCCTATCTTCAGAAGTTCCTGGAACGCAGTGCTGTTGGAGATGCCCTGCATCCGTGTTGAGCGCAAGTCTCACGGGGGCTGTCTTACTGAGGGCTGCAGTGGGTGACCGCCTGCCCGGGAGACAGAGCTGTTTGAATACTAACACCTCCGTAGGAAGTTAGTACCACTCCTTATTAATAGTCGGTTTACTGGTCCTCTCACTGGCCACAAACTCAGACAACCGAAAGTTCTCAATAAATATTAGCAGTTATTACTACAAAGTCAACCAGTCACTGTACTCATAGGGTGCACACAATCAGATCTTAGTATAACACAAAACAATAGAACGTAAATGCAAATTCTCTGTGCATTCAAGGTCAAGTACAGAAATAGAGGAAAGGGCGCTAAGTCTGAAAGGGGAGGGGAATGTTCGCCGACATGGCAGCAGCAGTATCTGCAATAGCCAAAGGTGGGCGCAACCCAGGTGTCCGTCACGGACGGAGAAAATGTAACATACAGAAATTAGAATATTATTGAGCCTTAAAAAGGAGGAAAATGCTGAAACATGCTACAGCGTGAATGAACTTCAAAGACACTATGCTAAGTGAAATGCTAGTAACAAAAGCACAAACACGGTGCGATTCCGTTTTTACGAGGTCCCTAGAGCAGTCAAATGCACAGAGGCAGAAACTGGAATGGTTTTTGCCAGGGGCTGGGGGAGGGGATGGAGAGTTGGTGTTTAATGGGGACAGAGTTTCAGTCTGGGGAGGTGAGAAAGTTCTGGAGATGGATGGTGGAGACGGTTGTACAACCACGCAAATGTACTTGCTGCCACTGAACTATATACTGCAAAATGGTAAAAATGGTAAATTTTACATTATGTGTATTTTACAGCGATTTTTAATAATAAATAATTTTTAAAGAAACAAGGTAACTAAAGGCAGAGTGAGGGGGAAAATCGTATTTTCATTAGTTGAGTTATTCTGTTATAGACTTGAATTACGTGGATTTCATTTATATTTCTTTTAAAAAAGAAAACTGAATAAATATCTATATAGTGCTTCCAGGTCAGGCGAGGTAGATCTCATTGGTAATTCCAGCACTTGGGGAGGCTGAGGCAGGAGGATTGCTTGAGCCCAGGAGTTGGAGGCTGCAGCGAGCTACGATGACGCCGCTGCATTCTACCCATGCCCACAGAGCAAAACCTTCTCTCAAAAACAAAACAGAACAGAACAAAAAAAAAAACAAAGAAAAAGTCTATCTAATACTCCCACAGGATGAAAGCAGAGCAGATTTGATGAATAAGAACAGTGGTTTATGGAATATCAAGTTTCAAAAAGAACAGCAAGTCACTTTTTGATGGAGCGGGTAAGCGGCCGTCAGACGCTGGGGCTGCAGAAGACCTTGTTGGCCCATAGCCAACAGGAATCAAAGATACCTGAGGGGCGAACTGACCTTTCCATGCCCCTTCTTTAACCATCTCACAGGGGTTCTGACCAAACCTGATCTAGTGGACAGGGGCGCCGAAAAGAGCATCCTGGACGTGGTGCGGAACCTCACGTACCCTCTCAAGAAGGGCTACATGATCGTGAAGTGCCGGGGCCAGAAGGAAGTCACAGACAGGCTGAGCTTAGCAGAGGCAACCAAGAGAGAAATGATGTTCTTTCAAACGCATCCGTATTACAGGTGAGACTCTTTAGAAAAGCCCTGGAATGGGCGTCCGTGGAAGCCGTCTCCGCCCACCAGCGTGGGCCAAGATGATAACCAGATTGCACATACAAGTACGTCATGTAGTATAACCTAGCCTTGTCTTGTTTGGTGTTAAATTTATTGGCTTATGTGAACAAATGGAAACAAGTTATCATTTCTGGGATTCTAGCAGTGGTGGCTATTAAACACTGGAATGTGACCTTACGTAGAGCACAGAGCACGTCGGTTTCCCAAAATGTTTTCACTTGCTTTTCCATTTGAGCCCCACGAAATCTTAAGAGCTATGTGAGGCAGGTGAAGTTCTTCTCATTTTTATAGGTAGGAATGATGAGGTCAAACGGGGAATGGAAACAGGGCTAGAAACAGATCTCCTGACTTCCAGACACCTGCGCCTACCACAGCGAGGGGTACACATCAAAGCCTGCTTTGTGAATCCCCCTCCTTCTTAGCGCCTGCAAAACCGGTTTTATTAAATATAAATTATCCTGCAGGGACTCTGCAGTTTGTAGGACGTTGGGGTCTCCCCCATCGAACTGGATATTTCCCCCCTCTGTTTTACTCAGGAACTTGCTCCTGCTGAACACTTGGGGACCAGGGCGATAAGACGGGGGTCACTGCTGCTTTAAGGACAGACATAGTAGGAACATGGTGAATTTGGGCAGAGCAGCTTTGCTACTCGCTCACTATGTGATCCCGCGACATGAGCCGCTACTTCACATGGTTGTGGTTAGGATTAAGTAACACAACATGCACAAAGGTCGGGATTACATGATACGACGTAGACGGATGGCCCCCACTCAGTGAATACCACCCTGGTTCCTTTCTTTCTTTCTCTCTGCTCCTGCCCCAGGGAGCTGAGCTCACCCACCCCCTTACGCAGCCCAGTGCTGGAGACAGGCTCACACAGGTCCTTGCTGAACGCACGTTTGCCCTGTGTCGTTTCAGAGCTCTCCTGGAGGAAGGGAAGGCCACGGTGCCCCGTCTGGCAGAGACACTCACTGCAGAGCTCGTCATGCACATCAAGGTGAGACGGCGGGTTGGGTTACCTGTTACAGAAATGGCAGCCTGCCCAAGTCACCGTCCTGGTCTTGAGTTGGCCAAGATGCCCCGGTTAACGGTCCAAACAGGCACATTCTGGAGACTGTGTCACTCAGGGTCACAGGCTCACAGGAGAGCTTCTGAAACCAGGAAGCGACAACAACACGATGGTGAAACACAGAGCTGACTCAGAAGGAATAAAACGATAACACCCGTGTAGCAACGCAGAGAGAAATGGCCACTGAGTTAGCAATTTTTTCTTTTTCCAATAGGTTGTTAATACTTCACAGTAGAGAAGAACTTTCCCAGCCTCAAACTTGTAAGAAAAAATCAGTTTGTAAGAAATAAATCAGTTTTTATGGATTCTCAAAAATAGACAACTATAGACTAATTTCTCATGATATCATCAGTTGTAGGAAAACTTTGGCTCAGTGCTTATTGAGAAAGTTGCTATTTCAATGCTTGCCTGAACCTTCATGAATGAGTTTAAGCAACATGGGAAGATTTAAGTTTACCCTTAGAGCAGAGACGATTCCAGGTGCTGGGACTTAGTCCATGTTAAATTGTGTGTCAGGCAAAAGCAGTGAATTCTTTGAGCCAGGAAGCTCCCACTGAAAGAATATTTAGTTGGGAGGGGCCAGTGCTCTCAAATTCTAGTACGCACAAAAATTACCAGGACATCTTGTTAAAACGCAGATTCTTGGGCGCCGGCCCCAGAGTTTCTGACTTAGTAGGTCTAGGGTGGGGCTCACGGGTTTGCATTTCTAAGTTCTCCAGTGATCCTGGAAACATACTTGGAGGGGCCTTGATTCTAGTGGAGCCCCCGAAGTCTGCAGAAGACATTTCTGAAAGCTACATCCTAATTGAGGAAAACATCTTTTATGCAAAAAAAAAAAATTTTTTTGCATTTTGATGACTTTTTTAGTAACTTTTTTCTCAACACTTAAATGTTTTAATCTAAACTTTGTAATATTTTAAATTAATTTTAAAAATTTAAATCAAGACTCAATTATGATAATGATAATTTGAAATACCAGAAGTTAATACACTTTTCACCGTAGGTACAAATTGTCCCCCCCAAAAAAGCCTCCGGGACCTTATTAATTTCTTGGTGTGACCCATCTTGCCTAGCCTTGGTGTGCTGACTGACCCCCAGACCACCTCTGACCCCCAGTGCACTCCTCCCGCCCAGCCGGAGCATCTGCCTGCAGGGGCTGGGGAGAGGGTGGACGGGGTGCAATTCGACACTGCCACCAACTAGATCAGCGTTGGTACCAAATAATTGGATTCTCTGGGCCTTAGAGTCTTCTCTGGCAAGAAGGGCTAGAGCACTGCAGCGTGGCATTGAGTGAGATGTGGAGGGTGTCACCAACACCCAAGACGCACCATTTTCCAGTTGCAGCATTCAAATTGTCAAATTGTCTATGTGATATTTGGTTCAGAAATCACTCCCGCTGTTAGAAGATCAAATCAGGGAGTGCCACCAGAGGGCGGTGGAGGAGCTGCGCCGGTGTGGGGCCGAGGTCCCCTCAGAGAAGACCAACCAGCTGGTCTTTCTGATAGAGGTGAGCGTTTCCACGGGACTCCATGGGACGCTGCGTCCTGCCCTGGTGGCCTGCAGGTCCCGGGGGCGGCCTGGGGCGGTGACAGGAGCCCTGTCCCTCTGCCCCGCCTGGGAGGCGAGGTGGGCGGTGATCTCCCCGCAGCCCTGGCCCCAACCCCCCGCATGCTGGCGCAGGGCGCGGCCCTTTCGTGTGATTACAGCACAGACGAATGCCTTGATATCACTTTCAGAAAATTAAGGTGTTTAATCAGGACATTGAGAAGTTAGTAGAAGGCGAAGAAGCCGTGAAGGAGAACGAGACCCGCTTATACAACAAAGTCAGAGAGGAGTTTAAAAGCTGGGTAAACGTCCTCGCAGCCAATACCCAAAAGGGTAAGTCCTGGGGCAGGGCTCCCCCAAAACACTGCCGTATTTACCAAGACCAGAGGCTACTTCCAGCACTTACAGAGTGTGCGGACAGCTGAACACACCCACACAGGAGACCAGGGGCCCTCAGTCATCGGCAACGGCTTCCCAGCTGCAGAGACCCTTCCGGATGGGGTTGCCCTCGCCAGCTCAACACAAGGCGATTCCCCTGCCTCCGACTTCCCACTTGCTCCTTGGTTTTGAGGCTAAGTGGCATTTAATGCCCACCTGATTTCTCAGGGTCCAGAGCACGCTGGGCCGGCGATCCCCGAGGGGAGGCTGCACCCGTGGCAGGGGCCCGGATGATGCGGGAGCCAGCCCCCAGGAAAGCCGTCAAGCTGCTGTTGTGTTAAGTGGTTGAGGGCACACCCGCCGGCTGGCCATGGCGCTCACCGAGGACGCACCAGGCACAGGGACTTCATTAACTGCCTAAATGTCAGCATTTGAGTTTGGCCTGGCAGAAAAAGTGACCTGGGATATTTTTCCTTTTGCTGGTATTGAGACAGAGCACAGCATGGCTGCCAGGGGACAGGGGCAGGGTATCCACATGAAATCACTCACCACCACCCCCTCTGGAAGGTCTAGGGTGCCATGACTAGATCAAGTGGCAGTTTGTTAACCATGGAAACATACCTGAGTCAACTAAAAAATTCCGCTACCCAATTCCCCCTTCTCTTTGCCCCTAATCCAAAAGCAGAGAGATTCTTGGTTTGACAAGAGCCTCCTGGCTTCAGCTGGCTTAGTTCTAACTCGCAGTGCTCCAGCCCAGATGCAAGCAGGGAGTGTGTGTGTGTGTGTGTGTGTGTGTGTGTGTGTGTGTGTGTGCTGTCGGTGTTGTGATTTTGTTCTAGCACTTGATGAAAACAGCACTATTTACTTCCATGGTCTGTGGATGTGTGCTTGGGAGGTCTGTAAGTGGGACAAGATTGGGTTTCTATTTTCATTTAACTAATCAGATTTTTTTCTACCAATTCTAAACACTGAACTTCTCTGTTGGGGTGATGATTCTCGATTGAAACACATTTTCACAGAATAAGATTTTTGTCTCTCAAAAGTCAGTATTTCTAGGCCGGGCACGGTGGCTCACGCCTGTAATCCTAGCTCTCTGGGAGGCCGAGGCGGGCGGATTGTTTGAGCTCAGGAGTTCGAAACCAGCCTGAGCAAGAGCGAGACCCCGTCTCTACTAAAAATAGAAAGAAATTAATCGGACAACTAAAAATATATAGAAAAAATTAGCCGGGCATGGTGGCACATGCCTGTAGTCCCAGCTACTTGGGAGGCTGAGGCAGAAGGATCGCTTGAGCCCAGGAGTGTGAGGTTGCTGTGAGCTAGGCTGACGCCACGGCACTCACTCTAGCCCGGGCAAAAAGAGTGAGACTCTGTCTCAAAAAAAAAAAAAAAAAAAAAAAATCAGTATTTCTTGAACTGCCATTATCAGACCATGAATATTTTTTTTTTCATTATGAACAGAACTCCATTTTGAAACACCGCTTTCGGGTACATTTGAGAGCAAGACTTCAAAACACTTTTCCTACTTTTAAAATGTCTATGGAATTATTAGAATTCACCCTGGTGATCTGTTACATGTTTCAGTTAAAAATATTATTCATGAAGAAGTCACAAAATATGAAAAGCAGTATCGTGGCAAGGAGCTTCCTGGATTTATCAGCTACAAGACGTTTGAGACCATCGTGCATGAGTACATCCAACAGCTGGTAGACCCCGCAGTGGACATGCTGCGGAGAGTGGATGGTGAGGACCTCTCTAACGGCCCCTGTAGTAACTTGCACACACCCTGATGCTTTGGAGGGAGAGACTGGAATGTGTTAAACACAGCGTCCTCTCTGGCGTGCTGGGCTGCTACTCGGGAGCTGGTCAGAACTACGGCTGCTGACCTTCGGGATGAGACCTTGTACCGAGGTCTCCAGGCGGTTTGAAAGCACATTTAAGTTGAGAAGGCTGCACTTGAGTGCTGCGGAGACTTCCTGTGCCCGTCCTTCAGACACGTGAAGGAGAGGGGTGGGAAGATGGGTTCTTCTGTCTTTGGGTGGGGGCGGAGAGTGCACACGAGCTTCACCTGTATCGCCTGTAGCCCTGGACACAGCCATGTGAGGGATGGTCAGAGGCTAACCGTGGAGAGAACACACATCCCAAGAAAGGATGGGAAGTGGACAGGACCTGGCCAAGGCGGCTGGGGGCTGGACTGCCGTTGTCCCAGGGATTATGTGCCACCTTCTTGGTCTGCAGGTCTGGGGAGCTCAGCCCTAGAGGGGGGTCAGTGTATCACGAATTATCTTGCCTGTATCTTTAACCGATTTTTTCCTGCTTGCGTTTTACTGATGTTTTGTTCTCTTTTTTTGGTCAGAAATCGTCCACGAAGCTTTCATGGAGAGGGCCAGAAACAATTTTAGTGAATTTACCAACCTTCATCAAAGAGTCCAGGTAAGCGTCCCATCCACTTGCTCGCCACCTGGGCACCTTGGAAAGAAGTTGGATGTTTACTGTGGCTTGGGGCAGCCAGGCCAGGGTTGTAAGTGGCAGCCTAGCTGAGCTGGTGACTCCACGAGCATCTTGGCTTCTGCTCAGGAGTCGTCTTCACTCCCAGGAGAAACGAAACAAGGCACGTGACCCTGCCGTCTGTTCCACGTGACCTTACGCAGTGTGGCAGGACATGGGGCTACACCTTGGGACTGGTCGGCAGTCGAAATCATCTTCAAGCATAAAGGACAGCATTGTCTACTAGTCCTACTCCAAAATTTGTAAAAGTTTGATTCAAAAATATTGTCACAGTTCTGTGGGTTTCCACTTAGCAACTCTGCCCTGAGCCACCTCTCAGTCAAGGCAAGATGGGGGGTCCGGCCCCCACGCCGGCTCTAGATAAAAACCCTCCTCTGCCTGGGCCGGTGGATCGAAATCTCATTCCACAACACCGGCCAGTAGGAAGACAATTTCTGTCATCTTTCCATAACATAACGTAGTTTCTCCTTTCACCCCTTTTGCCAGTTGGTAAAAATGAAATCTCAGTTCTGACCTCGACAACGTCCTCAGGGGCTGTGCCCGCGTCCTGGGCGCCTCCTCATGGGGTGGGTGACATGCCTGGTTCCCATCGCTAAGATGTCCACCATTCTTCCCGGCCTTGGCGTTGGTTCCCCGGGTCCTCCACGCTCCCGCGCACAGGGCTGGTTACCCAGAGCCCTCGTCCAGCCCTGCAGGGCACAGGCAGCGCCCTGCCGCAGCCCCCGGCGCTCTGGGGCCGCTTCTGCGCTGCCCTGGAGACGCACACAGCCTGCGACGGCTCCTCGGACCACCCGGGGCCGCGGCCCACGCACTCCGCTCCTCCTGAGCACACGGGAGCCTGCGGGGCTTGTCACTCCCCCGTCACAAATCTTGAGAAGGGAGGCACAGGCCACGCTTCTGCTCTCAGACGTCAAACCTGTGAGAGGGTCTATCGTCCACTGTGGCCACAGACTCTCAAAAAAAAAAAAAAAAAAGAGAAACGAGCACCCATGAAATTTCAGCTGTGAAACTCACTCTCTCTCTCTCTCTCTCTCTCACCACCTCTGCCTTCGGTTTTTAAAGTCCGTTTGAAGCTCAAAGCCAGAACGTGATTGTCCTGGTTCAGGCTGCTATCACAAAGTGCCACAGACTGGGTGGCTCCTCAACAACAAAAATGTATTTCCCATTGTTCCGGAGGCTTGAAGTCTGAGGTCGGGGTGCTGGTGCGGCCGGGCTCCGGCCAGGGCTCTCTTCCAGGCTGCAGGTGGTGGCCGCCTTCTCGAGTGTCCTCACACGGCTGACAGAGAGCGGGAGAGCCCTCTGGGGCCCCCTTCGTAAGGCGCTCATCCCATTCGTGAGACTCCACCCCTGTGACCTCCTCCCCTCCCAAAGGCCACACCTCCTAACACCATCACCTTGGGGGTGAGGATGTCAATACAGGAATTTCGGGGGGACACAAACGTCCAGTCCCTGGCAGTGGCTTCTCTGCTGTGTCATCCCCTCCTTTCCCAGAACGCCCTGGGCTGCAGGGGTGGTGCAGGAGTCTCGGGGTTTCTGGGCGGTAAATACACCAAGCTCTCGTCCCACCGTGTTCGTCAGCACTGGAGTCCCTCTCCAGGGCTTGGATTCAAGCAGAGTCGAGTCACAACGGGGACTGACGCCGCTGTAAAAATGTGGACCAGACCTGATCCAGGGAGCAAATAGCTGGTGGTGTGGGAGGGGTCGGTAGGGCAGAGAGAAAGAAAAGGAAGGAGAGAAGGCAGGTTGGCAACGTTCGGGAGGGAGTGAGGTGGAACCTTCTGGAAATCACTATTAAATGTCAAGGCCTGCCTTGACCTTGGATTATTTTTAATTCTGGGGTCAACATAGCAGTGCTTCCTCAATTGTTTAAGCAACAAGAAAAAGAAAAAGAAGTAACTTGTTTGTCTTTCTTGTCTAACCAGTACCATATTGACGACATAAAAATGAAGCAGGCAGAAAAGGCAGAAAACATGATCCAGCTTCAGTTCAAAATGGAGCAGTTGGTTTTTTGCCAAGATCAGATTTACAGCGTGGTTCTGAAGAAAGTCCGAGAAGAGATTCTTCACCCCCTGGGGAATCTGCCGCAGAATATTCAGTTCAATCCTCTGGCGTCAGGTGGCCAGTGTGCGATTTCCGCCATCACGGAAATAGGTGTCCACCTGAACGCGTATTTCTCGGTGAGCCTCAGGTCCCGGGCCGGTGCTCTCTGGCCTCAGCAGAGTGGAGTCAGGATATCCTCACCGGGACAGCCCTCACGGGGGGAGGAAGGGAAGGACCACTCCTGTGCATTAAGCCCTTTTGTGCTATGATAAACTGCTCATATATTATCTCATTTATCATTTTCCAGAAACCTTATGAGGGCACTTTTAACTAATTTGCCCCAAATCAATTTTTTGATGTGCCAGAGCGTGTACTCAAAATTAATTCAGACCCCAAAGTCCTTTATATTTTATCTGCAATGCATGAAGCACAAAATCACTACCATCAGAATGCAGCAAAATGCAATGAACACTAACGATGCTGGCAGTGACGTAGCTTTCCCAGGTGATCGGAGGCACTTAGCTCTTAGCACGCCTCGAACTTGCCAGCTCCACAACACACACATGAAATTTCCTTCCCTTGGATTTTGTGACCCAATCAACCGTGTGGTTTCTCACCTTCCATCTAATGTGCAGGTATCAGGGTGCATAGAGAGGGGACTAGCTTTTAAATTGCAAAGAAGCCCAACTTCTGAAGTCCTTTCTCAAGCTAAATAGAGAGTGGAGTTGCCCAGCCACAGGGGCCGGCAGCCAGGCAGACTGGCCACCCAGTGAAGACGGGGAAGGAGCAAGGATGTGAAGTGGTCCCCATCTACTCTCAGAAGGAGTCAGGGGAAACCTGGGCCAGCAGGTCTCTCCAGAGGGAAAGGAGCTCCTAGGATGCCCAGAGGTGGTGTGGGGAGCTTGCTAGCCTGTGATGGGGGGGTTCTTAGTGCCCAGGGGGATGCCTGGGAGTAAAGAGGGTGTGGCCAGGTCAGAACCTTCATGGGGTTTGATCCCACTAGCGTGGATGGGGCGGGGCCAGGGCTTAGCAAGGCAACTGCGTGTGCATCCAAGAATCCCAAAGCTTCTCTCCGCAAGCACAGGCCTTGGGCGGAGACCCCTCCAGTGACCCTTTCTTATTCCTTCTTCCAGGAAACCAGCAAACGTCTCGCAAACCAGATCCCATTCATAATTCAGTATTTCGTGCTCCAAGAGAATAGTGACTGGTTGCAGAAAGCCATAATGCAGATAATACAGGAAAAAAATTACTATTCCTGGTTTCTTCAAGAACAGAGTGAGACCGCCAAGAAGAGAAGATTCCTTCGGGATAGAGTCTACCGGCTCACTCAGGCGCGGCAGGCACTCTATAAATTCTCCACTACAGAGTGCCAGTGAAGGGCCACGGTGCTTTTGGCTGTTTCCTTACGTGCATTCGTTCATTGCAAGAGGAAGTAGTGGAGGATGTTGCTTCTGCTTTGGGGCCAGACTCATCTGTTGCTGGCCGTGTCCATCTTTGCTGTGCTACCCTCAGCATGAGAGCTTATATCTGAGGTCCACCTGGGCTTAGCTGTCACCTCCACCAAAGTCTTCTCTGACCTCCATGGAGAGGTGGCTTTCCGGTCTTGGGCCCCATGGCATACAGTTACAGCGTTAGATACTGCTGCCATTCTTTGCTAGTTTGTATTTGTACCCCCCTTATTAGATTACGAGATCCCAGAGGGGGAAGGTCTGTATCATATCCTTCTTTTGTATTTCCAGAATTTTGCACGGCACCTAGCACATAGTAACCACTTCAGAGGTGATATCTCACTGAACACGGGAGTACTGTGGAGTGATGGAGGTGCCTGAGGCTATCACTTAAGTCCAGGCCCTGGTGGCCCAGGGTCCCTTAGCTGGTCACTTTCAGGTGCATCTGGTCATGCCACCTGCTTCCATCACTCCCTGAAATCGTGATTCCCAGCCCTCACCCCCTGCAGAAATGAGCCTGAGTGACACTGTGTTCTCCTTGAGTTGCTTCCGTGTGGCCATGAGCTTCCATTGCTTCATTAAGTCTTGAAGAGGAATTTAATAAGGAGAAACTTTTTAAAAAATATATAGAGCTTCACACCAGTGATCATCTCTAGATTGGAGAACTGTGGGTAATTCTATTTTCTTCTTCATGCTTTCCTGTATATTCCAAACAATGAGCCTGGATCCCTTAATAAAAAGACAATAGGATAAATGTCATGATTTGTTTGTTTTTAAACCCAAGTTTGAGACGGAAAGAGTGCCTCAAAAACATTCAGCTTTGGTCAGGGGTACAGACAGGGACGATACACATGAAATCTTTTCTTCACTTGCTGTAAACGAAGTTGGAGAAGAAAGTTCAAGTCAAAATCACAGCTTGACAGGCATCTCTCAAAAAGTCTCTTGCAGATCTGTATTAAAACGCTAGTGTATTAGTCTGCACGAGCTGCCATAGCAAATACCGCAGCCTGTGGTTTAAACTATAGAAATTTATTTTCTCACATTTCTGGAGGCTGGAAATCTGAGATCAAGGTGTTACTGGTTTGGTTTCTTCTGAGGCCTCTCGCCTTGGCTTGCAAATGGCTACCTTCTCACATGTCTTCACTTGGCCTTTCTCTTTTCTTCTTATAAAGACACCAGTCTTTGGATTAGGGCCCCACCCTTATGACCTCTTTTAACGTTGACCGCTTTAAAGAGCCTATAGGCAAATGCAGTCACATTGGGGGTTAGGGCTTCAACATATGAATGGGGGTGGGGGCGGAGGGGACATAGTTCAGTCCATAACATCTAGTAAGTGTTAGGTCTGGAGCCAAGAGGGAGACATACAAAGCCTCATGTGTAGCAAAATGCTGTTTATTTTGAGCATCTGGGTGCAGATGGGTGAAGGCCAAAAGAGCGTCCACCACGAGGGAGGGTAAAGCCTTGGGGTTTATAGAAGAAGGTTTTTCCAGGGGGAGTGGTAACTGGGCCAGAACAGCCACTGTAATGAATTTTTTTAAACAACCAATCTGTGGGACCCCTGCGCCTGTCTCATCCTGCAGGGATAGGGAAGGGGGGTAGCTTCGTCCTTATCAGCGGGGATAGGAATGTTATCATCGCTGCAACTGTCTGTGGTTGGAGTTAGGTTTACAACCTCCGGACTCCAGACTCCTGCAGCTGCTGTTTCGCAGACTTTATGATCACTATCTAAGTTTTCCATTAACCGCATTTCATCCTATACACACTTTTTGGGTTTCCACCCAGAACAAACCTAACAGTAAGAAAATAAGCACATGCATTCTGAACACAAAACTTGACCAACAGTTTGAAGGGTTTATTTCTAATTTGAAAGCCAGCAGGTCTGGCCTGAAACCCAAACGGTCGTGGAAAGGCTGACACTGATTTACTGTTTCCTATCCACCCGGCATATAGAATCTGGGGGGGGTTCAGTTATCTATTGCTGTGTAATGAGCACCCCAAAATTTAGTGGCTTAAAACAACATCAATGCGTTCTTTCTCCGGATTCTGTGGCAAGTCTGGGTGGTTCCTGGTCTCGCCTGGGCTCACCCATGGGTCTAGTCACATGAAGGCCAGACAGCGCGGGAAGGTCCAAGATCTCACTCCCCAAGCTACGTTTTTATAAGGGAAACTTGGGTTCCATTAGCACTGATTTTCGAAATTAAGAGCAATGGAGAAAGGCTGCCTGGCTACCTGAATCCGCTACGCCTCTGGAAGCTCGCTGGGTAGACCAGGATAACCGTCACGGACACTCCCCCGTGTTTACTACCAGGGGACTATCTGAAATAGCACGCTCACCCATAAATCTGCCTCCCTGCTCAGAGGGGCTGGAGAGGAACAGCGGAGGCCCAGCCCCAAATGCTTCTTGCCTGGGCTATGTTATGAGAGGGCGTTGGCACTTGTGAGTGAGAACAGAGGAGGCGGGCCACGATCTGAAACAGTTCTGGAAAGGCTGCCCTGGGAGCGAACTATCCTCTCACAGCCGAGAGCCTCCCCCAAGCATGTCCTGGGTGCCTGGCTTGCACCCCACACTGTGGGGTACAGAAATCTATAGCACAAAGCCGAGCTTTGCGGGACTCGGCTGTCCTCACGTCTGGGATGCAAACAAGGATCAAGGAAAGTATGGATGTGCGATACTTTCCCTGTTTCTCCTCTGTGCCAGGAAAGTGAAAATGAACTTTTGAAGCGGCCATTCACCTTGTCCGTGAATCCTTTCCTGAACACTTTCCCCGTTGCCCACTCCTCCTCCTCCCCAAAGGCTCCCTTGCACCCCCCACCCCCTCCCCATGGGCCTCTAGAGCAGCACTTAGCCTTACCTGCGAGGGCACCCCCCTCCCCATCTCCTTAGGGGCAGTGGCTTCACAGGGAAAATGCTTTTACTCGGTTTATCCCTCTTATATAACAGGATTTACCACAACGTACTATTTCTTTTCTTTATGTGAATGCCAGTGGACAGCTGGTCCTGCCTGGGAAAGATGAGTTTGGACAGTCCAGGGGCCTTCCCCAGTATTGTCAACATCAGTGTCAGGGTCGGGCCATGGGTACACCAGGCCAGGGTCCCCCTGCTCCGCAGACCCCCTCCAGCACAGCAGGATTTCAGCATCTGTCCCCTCCTGGCAGGGCCCTGCCATGGGCCCCAGCGACGAGAAGGCCAAGCGCGGGCCCTGGCCTTGATGGCCACAGCCAGGCCAGATGCGGCCTTCTCGGGCCGCTCCCAGACGACCCACCACGGGAACCCCCTCAGAGTGCAGGTTCTGAAACAGTGGTCTCCAGGCAGCCCCACGTCCTGCGTTTCCAACAAGCGCCCAAGTAAGGCCAATGCTGCCGGTCCAGGGGCTGCCCTTTGACACGCACGGGTCTATGTCACTCGCACAGAAGGGACACAAAAAACTGGGAAAACGAAACTAGTCCCTGGACTCAGGTCCCAGGCCGGACACAGGGGTCACTAGGGCGGGGACTCATTCCCCCGGAGGTGGTTATGGGGCTGCTCCGCAGGCCCGCCAGCACCTCCCACTCCGTGGGCACCTGCGGAACCAAGTCCTGGCCAAGCAGCAAAGCAGCCCGCGCGCCCCAGGGGTGCCTGGCGCCGCCTCCTCCCCCTCCCGTCACAGCCTCTATTTACCCTGGCACCGCCCCCTCCTCCCGACACCACCCCCTTCTCCTGTCTCTTGTCAGAGGAGCCCCACCCCACCCCGTCCCCGCAATCCAGAGCCTAGTGTCGTGCAGCCTGACTTTCATTTCTAGGAACCACGGAGTAGAAATGAAACAGAAACCGAACCTGAGTACTCTGGGAAATTCGCGACGGGGGTGGGGGAGTGGCTCAGAGTCACCCGGGAAGTGCCTGCAGGGCCAGAGCCGACCTCCCACCAAGCATTTTGCTGACCAAGCATGTGCCAGGATCCCGGCGCACAGCAGGCAGCACGGACCTCGTGCGCTCGGCTGGCCGGTGCTCAGCCTGCAGGCAGAGGCGAGTCAGTGTGCAAAGGCCACGTGTGATGAGGGGTGTGCAGCGCAGGGCCCAAAAGGAGTCCCTGAGCAGGGGACGTTCATGTCGTGGGGAGGGTATTTCAGTGAAGCCCTGAACACCAGCTTTGCAGTTTGGAATTGTGCGCGGTGCCTCAGTGGCGCACCGCGCAGGATTGTGACCAGGGCTGTCAGCTTCCTAGGTATTTGAGGAACTGCACAGCTCCCAGGTGGGGAGCCCACGCCACACAGCGGGCAGGCGGCTTTCCATTGACACCAGCTCGGCTCTCCCTGGCCAGGCCGTGCAAGTGCGAGAGGGCTGGGCAAGGTCCAGAGAGACCTGGAGACGCCTGGGGAACCCATGACCTCACAGGCCGTGGGACTAGGGTCAGTGGGAATGTCGGGCCACTATGATGCTTCCCCTATGGATGCTGTGTTTTTGCACCAGGAAAGAAAGCAAAATTAATGACCCCTCAATTAATTGTGCCAAGGGGACGTTAGGCCCTGGAGACTCACTCAGCAACGCGGCTCTGTTTCCTTCATGGTGCATGGCCTGACTTTTTGTATGAAGACTGTCAGTGGAAAAGAACTCAGACTCTGTAAAGTAATTTAAAGAGGTTTATTCTGAGCCAAATATGTGCGACCACGGCCCAGAGAGCCACGCCCAAGAAGCCACGAGCAAGTGGTCTCACCGTGGTTGGGTTACAGTTGATTTTATACACTTCAAGGACACGGATTACACGTAAAGTCATAAATCAATACATGGAAGATGTACCTTGGTTTGCCCCAAAAAGGCAGGACCTTTCGAAGCAGTGCATTACAGGTTATAGGTGGTTTTAAAGTTTCTCTGATTTGCAATTGGTTAAAGAAATGAAGCTTTAGGCCGGGCGCAGTGGCTCACGCCTGTAATCCTAGCACTCCGGGAGGCCGAGGCAGGTGGATCCTTCGAGCTCAGGAGTTGGAGGTTGCTGTGAGCTAGGCTGATGCCATGGCACTCTAGCTTGGGCAACAGAGTGAGACTCTGTCTCAAAAAAAAAAAAAGAAAAGGAAAAAGAAATGAAGCTTTGTCTAAAGCCTTGGAATGTTTTAAGTTAAGATAAGGAAGTATCAGAGTATCAGAGACAAGCCACCAGACATAGACTGGACATATACCCAGACTCAAGTGATCTGTTAAGTAAACTGACGACCTGCAGGTGTGGTTTTCGCTTGTCTTGCATAGCCTTAGGCTTGTTAATGAATCGCAAAGGACATCCCCCAGAAGGGAAGGGGGCATGAAGAGGCATGTCTGACCTCCCTTCTCTTGGCCAGCAGCTCAGCTTTAGGGTATTTCTGGGGTCCCCTTGGCCAAGAGGAGGTCCCTTCAGTCACCTGGGGGGCTTAAGATTTTATTTTAGTTCACAAGATGTTATACATTGATCAGATCACCCATTGCTCTCTTGAACATAGACCTTTGATGCCTGAGGTGGAGAGCCCTGTGACTGTCATCTCTCTACAGTGTAATGTTAAGCAACCCCTTGGAATTGGTAACTGTAACCAGTCAAATGTCTGTGAATGACCCGTTAGCCTCACATGAAGCATGCTGGGATGCTGCTCCCTGTTTCGCCTATATAAACGACCCCCACTCTGACCCCATTTGATGGAGTCCGTTTCCAGGCGGTCATCCTGAAACTGTGAGGCTGTATAAACTCTCTTTCAACTAAATCCTGATCTCTCTGATTACTTTAGGTTTGATAGCCCGATACATTTTACTGGAGGGAGGAAAACACTAAGAGGGCAGGACTGAGGCTGTGCCATAGTGGGGGCCCCAGAGACAGAGATAGCTGGTGAGAAATCAAAATAACATCCTAAGCCCCCTACCAACTCAACAGATCCCCTCTTGGCCAAGGGGATCCCTTGGAGAAACCTTAAAACTGAAATCTGGGCCGTGACACGATGGGCCTTGTTATATCCCCTCCCTCACTAACCGCCATCAGGCTTTCTGCCCTGGAGGGTTAAACAGAACCAGACCGTTGGAAAGACTTGCTCCGCTGCCGATTTCTACCAGCCTAGTAACTGCTCCTCCTCTGTTGCAGTTTCGACACAACTGCCCAGCACTCCTTGCTGCCGAGCCCGCTGACCGCGAGTGGTTCTGGCCAGGCTCTGGAGGCTGTGCACAGAGGGCCTCTGCATCCTCGGCTTCACCTCTTGATGTCAGAGGGCTGAACTCCACCCTGGATCATGCTAATGCCGCCACCCTCTGCCCATGGGTCCCACAAAATAGCATGGAGCTCAATTGCACATGTGTCTCCCTCCATAAATATCCCTGGCTCCTCCTATAGCTCATTAAATACGTGCACTCGGCCACCCCGCTCAGCATAAATTCCTGTTCCCATTGCCCCTCCCTCCAAGTAGCTCCTGCCCCAGGCTCTGCTTCCCAGATGGTCAGAATGGCCACCTGTAGGCTGCAACCCTTTGTGAGAAATAAAGCTCTCCTTTCCAAATATATGAGCCTGCCATTCTTCAGTTGACGCTGGGCGCTTCAATCCAATTAAATTCAGCTCACACGTAACTGAGTGACTATGGGCGCTGGGAAAATGCAAGCTTCGTAAGACTTCCTCGCCCTGCCCTTGCGGTGATGACAGCCCCATGAAGGAGGTGGCCATATCCCCCCCTCTCCAGAGCATTCACCAGGGAGGCAAGAGCATCTTAACCTGAGCTAAATTTGGTTCCATCCAGGCTTTCCCTGACCAGGACCTACGGCTGCGGCAGGTTCTGGGCCTTGGGGCTGGTTGGGGGTGACCCATCCTAATCACAGGAGTCTTTGGGGGCCTTAGGGACTCTGAGCTGCGCTAAGGAGGATGGAGGTGAGGTGCCAGGCGCCCCCAAAGGGAAATGCCATTCCCCCCAACAGCCTGTCAGCTGTGAATGGGAGTCCCCACAGGGAGGGCCACCCCTGTGTCCGTTTGACCTCAGCCCCTTCTCCCCCAATTCCATCCTGGGGAAATCAGATGAGCCAGACTCCAGGGAGTCCTTGGAGTGGGCAAAGCAAATGAGAAAGCAGGAAGATGCCGCGGGTGCCCACGCGGTGGGGATGCGGGCTGGGGAGGGGGCGAGAGGAAGCTGCAGCCCTTAGCGCTCAGTGGCTGCGCATCCCCGCTGGGGCTGGACGATCCCAGCGGCCCTTCTCGGGAACTGAAGACGCCAACCGCCACTGCATCTGCTCTGGACACCGGCCGCAGCCCAGGCTTGGATGACTCAGGCCTTAGAGCAAGAGCAGCGGCTGGCGCGCCCGGATCCTGGAAAGGGCAGACGCTGGCCGCGGGGCCCCGCCCCAGCTTCCGATTCAGCAGGTCTGCGTCGGCCAGAGAATCTGCATTTCTCGCGAGGGCCCCCAGGCAGGCGGGTGCTGCGGTGCGGGGCGCACGCGGATCCCAGGCCGGCTCTGTTTCGTTTCCCTCGCGCGGCCCGGGAGTTTCGTTTCCCCTCGCCCGGGGGCGGGGCCCCGCGCCCCTTAAAGCGGCCGTGCGCGCTGCTGCGCCACATCGGCGCTGCGCAGGAACCGGTGAGTGTCGCCCGGAGCTCCGCATCCCGGCCGGCGAGGGGAGCTCGGAGGGCAGCATTCATGGCGGAGACGAGCGTTCCGGGCGGGGGCACTGAAGGGACACGTTCTCGGCCGCTAGTAATAATAACAGTAATAACAACAACAACAACACGCGCGACGATGGGCGAGCTCGGGCCACGCTCCATCCTAGCTCCGACCGACGAGCGGCCGAGGCTCGTGGATGGCCCATGGAAAATAGGCCCCTGACCGGCGGCGTTTCCCTGGAGCAGGGCAAGGTGGAGGGGACGGGGCGGGTGGGTGTCTCCCAGGGAGTCCGCGTAGGCAGGGCTGGGAAAGTTGCAGGTACTGCTGCGTGGGGCCCACCTGTCAGTGGATTCAAATTTTCTGCTACGGAGTGCAAACCGCACGAGTCCAAGTGCAGGCAGTCGCCTGGAAGGGCAGATTCCGGGGGTCGCCATCGATCCTGAGTGAGGGGGTCCCAGTCCCGGGAAGAAGGCGCGGTGGGCAGAGACTGGGCCCGAGCAGGAAGCCAGGCGCCCTGGGGTTGGGGGGGGCCCGGACTTCGCGGTCCGGTGGGCAGCGCGGAGGGGGTGGGGGCAGGAAGGGCGGTCCCAGGGCAACGGAACCGCGCTGCGCAAACCTGCCCCCGCAGCCCCCCAAGCGGTGACCGCTAAGCCGTGAATGTGGAACGGTTGGAATTCCTTGGTCCAATTTTAGATGAAGATTTTTATCGGAAGCAGGGTCAAAAGATGCTCACCCCCAGATGTCAGCCCCAGAGGGCTCCTAAAATGTCTAACGGTGTCGTCTTTCAGCTTTGGACCGTGGGGGTGCACAAGCCTCCCGCCTCCCGTTGTTCCCTTGCTCGCCCTCTGCTGCCACCTCCGGAGGCCCAGCTCAGCTTGGTTTGGTAGGTAGTAGTGCATTTGGTCTAAAATGCAAGCTGTTCCCCTTTTTATTCACAAAAAAAAATGTAAATGCCAGCAGGCTTCGGAGGGAAAAACACTTTGAGAAGAAAAAGTGAATGTTAAGTCCTGCAAGAGTTATTTTCAAAGCTGGACTGAATTGTGATGGGAAAGTTACAGACTCTTGCATCTTAGGCATTTTCTAGGACATGCCTGGTAGGTGGTCTTTATTAGGGGGGGCCCTGGGGCTGGAAGGGGGCTGAATTCTACCTCTCATCTCCTCTCTTCTGTGGAGTCTCAGCAGAGGAATCTTCCCCACAAGGACAGAACCCCCCTGGACAACCCTCGATGCCGTCCCCACCCCACTGCAGGAATTCTGTGGCCAACACTGCAGTAGGCTGGGTCTGGAAAGCTGCAGGAAAACTCCTGATCCCTGAAATCTGGACTGGAGGGGGCAGCATTGCACCTCTCTGCCCCCCTACCCCCACCCCCGCCCCAGAAGGGACAGCAGGTACTTGAGAAGGCACAGGCTTGCCCTGGGCAGGAATGGAAAGAGCTTCCTGAGCCCTGGCAGCTGCTCCCCTCCCTAACCCTAACCTTAGGATGAGAGAAGAGACTGGGAGATGACCCCACCCATGCCCAACTCACATCTCAGCCTCCGAGCAGGGGGGGTGTGCAGTAGTGAGGGGATGCGGGGCTGGAAAGCAGAGGTGGGAGGCATGCCTGGATTCCCTGCAGCCCCCTCTGCAAACACTGGAGGCAGGTGAGAGATTTTAGGAATAATTTGGGGCTGAGAGGTAGGGGTCACCACCTCTAGATTCTCCCAAGGCCAGAACTGGTGAATGTACTTGGATGCTGAGTGTCATTGCTAAAGAAGAAACTGGCTTGAACTATTGAGATTGCCCTGCTGCTGAAATCCAAACTCATCGTCACAGATGATCCAAGAAAGAAACAAACATTTATGGTTTACTGACAAAAGCCGTGAGGTTTAGCTTTCAGGGAATCTCATTTTGTGAAACAAACAGGGGAGGGAATAGACTCACAAAGTCCTGTTTCAACTGATCAAATCAAACCCATGGTCATGGGGTGCAAGTCCTGGAGACCAAAGATGCCTCTTGAGTGAATACAGAAAAGCCAACTGAGGCAGCCGCAGCCCAGAACACTGGCACTCCAGGGAGGCAGATGGAGTGGTGTCTTTGGCATGGAACCCAGGACACCCCGGGCACCTGAGGCGTGGAGAGTTCCAGAGGCACGGAGAGTTTTAGCGCATACATTTCCGGATTGCCGAGCTCCATAAGTACCCTTTAAAATTGATCACCTTTCATAGTCACCACCTTCCCACCTTACAAAAGGAATGTATCCCCCTCTCCCTTTCCAAATTGAACATGGATACAACTGTGCCTGCCCTTGAAGCGTATAAACCTGGGGACAGGAAAGGGCAGTTTACATGTTGGTGTCTGGGGTGTTTTCTTCAGCCAAGGCGCCATGAACCAGCGCCAGGGCCTCCAGACCTTCCTGACTCACGCATGTTTCTGTTGAGCGCAGCGTGATAGGAGAATCGGGGCGTTGCCTCAGGCTAGGATGTCCTGAATCTAGATACGTTACAGACCAGGGTGACAGGCCGGGGTGATGAGAGGTTTTAACAGTCTGTCCCTTCAACGCCACCAGCATTGACAAAGATTGCATGGCTGTCTGGGGAGGGTCCCATGAGGAGAAGCACAGAGGGCATCAGTGCAAATTGTTGACACGGCAGCCAATTTGCAGCAAGCCTCGGTGCCTTATTCACCCATCTTAGTATTACAATAGTCAGGATATATAAAAAGGATTCTGGGAAATTGGAATCTGTTTCCAAGCTCGCCCCTTCTGCGTCTGCACCATTCTCAGCAACGGGGCCGGCGTGGCGAGGGCTCTCCCCAGGTCACCAGGTTTGGGTCTCATTTGTACCCTTCGCTTGATTTCAAGGAGGCGCAGGAGAACAGCTCCCCGTTTCCACCCAACTGCTAACGTTACACCTTCAAAACAAGGAGCGTATATCGGAGGTAAGTTGGTGCTTTGTGGTTTTTATAACGTTTATGTTGAGTCACAGGAGAAAAATTTTCATTTACTTTTATCCAAGATTATCAGACGCTATAAAATTTATTATTCAAAGGCTATGGTCCTGGAACATTTTAAGAATGAATTTTACACATATATATATATGTATTTGTGATGCAGACAACTATGATAAAGTGGTAAATTGAGTGCTTTCAAGAATAAAGTGAATGCCATTAAGATACGCTCACGTGGAGGAGATGGCATGAAAATATGAAATCAGCGATCAAAAGGAACAACACAGAATACTTAGAGTTCCTACGCTTTTTTAAGCTAAAGGTCTGGGTATCAAATTGCCATAATACTTAGATTCCCTTGTCTACACTGGAAGGAGTTCTATAAAAATTTTATTTTTAAATGTAAATTTTTGAAAGGCATCAGAAATTGTATCCTTTGCAACTATTTAAATTTATAGTGAAAAAATTTTTGATGTTCAACCTAAACTTTTGACAGGAAATACCTAGTTTTAAAAAATCTTTTAAAGTACGGAGGCATATTCTTGAAGAGCCTTGAGCTGGGGTGCAGAGTTTGTCTTCATCTGTTCTGTGGGTTCCCCTGCACTTCTCTTTCAGTGAATAAAGAGTTAATGAGCATGCACTGTGCCCTGGGGCTCTTCTAAGCTCTGGGGACATCACAGTGAATAATTTGTCAGAGTCCCTGCCTCCCGAATCTTACCTTCCGATGGTGGGTTTGGTTCCATGATTGAATATACCCAGCTTCTGATCTGTTCCATACTGATCGCTCCATTTTAACTTAACTTACAAAGGAAGAAGATGGTTCTTTCCGAAGTGGAAATCACAAAACCTGATTCAGCTTCTGCAACCACCCGTGTATTGCTAAATGGAGATATTAGTATGGCTGTGGAAACTCAGGCCTTGGTAAGTTGCTGTCTGAAAGCCACTTTAGCCACGGTGCCTTCGCTAAAGACATTACATGAGCTGTACCCATTTGAGGCTGCCACTGCCTGGAGATTGCTGCTTCCTCGCCTTCCCTGGGGCGGGATACAGATCCAGATCCTCTATTCACTCTGCTGGGCCAACTGGCAGCCAAGTGTAGACATTTTGCCTTCGCTGACTCTGGTTGGGGCGCCGTGGTGGTCTGGGAAACCAGACCGGATGTCGATGGCTCAGGTGGGAATCGGCCCGGCCCTGGGTCCAAGGAGCACTGCATTGCCCTGCTCGCATCCTGGGTCAGGCTCAAGCTGCAAACTCTCTTAGGTGCCTTTAGGATATTATCACCTTCGTGAAGCCACATGGTGTCTTTTTTGCCCAGAATCAAGACATATTTTTAATGGGAGCAAATCCTGGCCTCTGGAATCAGTCCAGCCTGAATTTGGTCACGACACTGACACTTTCAGCTGTCTGATGAGGGGTAGTTAATCCTCCTGTTATAAAGCCTCGTTTTCTGTCTCTAAAATGGGAATAATAATAGTCTTCGTTTCTTGTAGCTGTCGAAAGAAGTCAGTGCAGGCAACGTCTGGGCACCTAGAAAGTGTTCAGTTCATTGTTACTACATGTTTTAGAACCACGGGTCATTGGCCTGAGTCAGGTGGCCTCTGGCCTCCTAAGCAATGTTAAACAATTTTTCAAACGATATTAGAAACAAGATTGAAGGACACAGAAAAATAAGAAGGGCCACCCGTCTTTCCACCACCCTCATGGGGTCACTTTGCACCTGGACTGGGTGGCCACGTCCAGAGACATTTTGGCTGTCACAACTCCGGGTGAATAGTAAATAGTGACTGGAGGCCTGGGATTTGGCTAAACCTCTTACAGTGCGTAGGACAGCCTCTGCCACAGAGAATTGTCTGCTCGCCCTGATGTAAAGAAACTATTCCAGTAAAAATGTATGCATATGGTGAAGTATACACAAAAATAGGCATTAAAAGGAAAGAGGTAAAAGATAAAATGATTTTCTTATATTTTCTCCCTAGACCCCAATCAGCCCACTTTGGGAAAATTGCCTCAAGCCACTGGTGAGTGGCAGGATGAGTGTGGCCCTTCTCCTTAAGAACCGTGGCTGGCATCTCAGTGTCGTGGGTGCAAGGACAGGTGGAGGGAGAGGTGTCTGCTCTGCTTAGAAAGTCCTGAGCACTAATTGTGTCTTTAAACCCTTCTTTGCCTGAAAAAATTTATAGTAGGAGTGTCTCGTGTTTTCGTTGTTCGTTTGTTTATATTTCTCTAACTTTTTAAACTCTGTTACACAGAACAACAATTGCTTTAGCCATTATTCTGATAAGCCACTTGAAATTTTCATGTACGCCTTCTCTGTGGTTTTTTATATTTACTTTCATCTTTTAAAAATCAGTTTTATTGAGATATAATTTACGTATAACAAAATCCCACTGATTTCAAGTGTTGTAAGTTTAATTTGCATTTCTCCAGTGGTTAACGATATTTAACATCTTTTTCGTGTGCTGTTTTGCCATCCCTCTAACTTTGGTGAAGTGTCTGTCCAAATCTTGTGCCCGTTTTTTAATCCGATTGTTTTCTTATTGTTGAGTTTTGAGAGTTCTTTATATATTTCAGGTACAAGTCCTTTGCATATATGCTTTGCAAACACTTCCAGATTATGGCTTGTCTGTTCATTCTCTTAATAATCTCTTTTAAAGATCACATGTTTTGAACTTTGTGAAATTCAGTTGATCAACTAACTGGTTATTTTTTTCCTGTTTGATTTTTTTTCAGGGTGCATGTGATAATTTAATACATTCGTATAATTTGTAAAGATCAAATCAGTGTAATTGGGAGATTCATCATCTTAAATATTTGTCTTTTCTTTATGCTGAAAACATTTGAATTATTCTCTTCTAGCTATTATCAGTTGGTTCTTTTATGGATTGTGGGTTTGGGACCATGTCTAAGAAATCATTGCCTAACTCATGGTCACCAAGATTTTCTCCTATGTTTTGTTCTACAAGTCCTATAGTTTAAAATTTTACATTTAGGTCTATGATCCATTGTGAGTTAATTTTTGTATATGGTGTGAGGTATTGATGCAAGTTTATTTATTTTTGCACGTAGATATCCAATTGTCCTAGTACCACTGGTTGGAAAGCCTATCATTTTTCCACGCATTGCCTTTGTAACTTTGTCAAAAATCGGTTATGTGCTGGCCTATTTCTGGAGTATGTGTTCTGTTCCATTGATCTCTTTCTCTATTTTTACACAAATACCACACTGTTTTTGTCACTTTAGCTTTATAATGATTACGGAAACTAGGTAATGCTAGCCGTCTGATTTTGTTCTTCTTTTTCAAAGTCATTTTGACTATTCTAGGAATATTTAGGCCATTCATATTTATTGTGATTGATGATATAACTAGGTTTGAGAATATCACTTTGCTTTTTGTTTTCTATTCGTCCCATCTATCATTCATTCCCCCTTTCCTCTCTACCTTTTGTTGGATTAATCAAGTATTTTTTATGATTATATTTTGTCCCCTTTGTTGGCTTAGTAAGTATAACTTAGTGTTTATAGTATATATCTTTAACTTAGTAAGTCTACTTTCTAGGAACAGTATATCACTTCATGTATATATAAGAACCTTACAATAGTATACTTCCATCTCTCAGCTTCCAGTCTTCGTACTATTTTTGTCATGCATTTCACTTTTATATATATCATAAACTCCATAATACACTATTATTTTTTTGTTCGAACATTCGATTATCTCTTAAAGATATTGAAGTAATAAGAAAAAGTATAGTAGTTAACACTTCTGGTGTAGATTCCGTGGTGTAAATCAAGATTTCTAAACAGTATCATTTTCCTTCTGCCTGAGAACTTCTTTAACATTTCCTGTAATGCAGGTATGCTGCTGATCAATTAGTTCAGTTTTTGTATGTCTGAAAAAGTCTTTATTTTGCCTTCATTTTTAAAAGATACTTTTGCTGGGTATAGAATTCTGGGTTGAAGATGTTTTTCAGTCCTTTAAAAATGTTGCTGTGCTGTCATCTCACTTGCATTGTTTCTGATGAGAAATCTGCTGTCAATCTCATCCTTGTTCCTCTGTTTCTGGCTGCTTTTAGCATTTTCTTTTTATCACTGGTTTTGAGCAATTTGACTCTATTGTGCCTTGATGTAGTTCACATTATATCTCCTGAGCTTGCAGTTTGTTGAGTTTCTTGGATCTTTGGGTTTATGGTTTTCATTAAGTTTGAGGATATTGTGCGTATTATTTCTTCAAATTTTTTTTCTATCATTCTTCCACTCTCTTTTGGGGATTACAATAACCTATTAGGCTTTTTGAAGTTGGCCATCTTTGAAGGAGCTTTATCTGTAGGCCATGACAGAATTCTCCATTTTCCCTTTCTCCAGGGGGCCGAGAACAACCTGTGCAGCATGTACGAGGAGAAGGTGCGCCCCTGCATCGACCTCATCGACTCCCTGAGGGCCCTGGGTGTGGAGCAGGACCTGGCCCTTCCAGCCATCGCCGTCATCGGGGACCAGAGCTCGGGCAAGAGCTCCGTGCTGGAGGCGCTGTCAGGAGTTGCCCTTCCCAGAGGCACTGGTAAGAGCTTACACTCCACATTAGTCTGACCTGGTTGCCATAACAAAATACTACTACAGATGGAGTGGCTTAAGCCACAGAAATTTATTTTCACATGATTCTGGAGGCTGGGACTCCAGGATCAAGGTTTACTTTCTCCTGAGGCCTTTCTCCTTGGCTTGCATGTGGCCGTCTTCTCACTTTGCCCTCACATGGCCGTTATTCTGTGCGCAAGTATTGCTGGTGTCTCTTTCTCTTATAAGAGCACCAGTCATATTGGATTAGGGCCCCACCCTTATGACCTCATTTAACCTGAATTACCTCTTGAAAGGCCTTACCTTCAAATACAGTCACATTGGGGGCTAGGGCTTCAACATAAGAATTTGGAAGGAACACTATTCAGTGCATAATATCATTGCATTGTACATTTTTTGTGTAAGTTGTATGTAACCTGGAATTCTTGGAAGATCTGAATAAAGGCATTTGAGGCCCCAGTCCAGAACTACATGCATGTGGGTGTCTGTCCTGAACCCCTTCCCAAGAGGTGACCCATCATCTTGGGAGATAAAAATTGGTGCTCTGGTTGGTGATGCTGTTTGAGTTGTAAGGGCAAGGATATCAGTGAGTGCTCAAGGGAGGAGGTGAGACCTGGGATGGGTCTTGGAATACAGGTCAGACATGGTAAGGAGGTAGGATTGGAAGGAGTTTGCAGTAGGAGGACAGTGATAAGATGGCCTGGTGGCAGCAGTATGCCTTCCTGGTGCATGTACAGCGTGTATGTTGGGGGAATAATGGAGGATGTTTGCATGATTTTTGGGTGTTCCCCGCTGCAATTTGCCACCTGAGCTGATGACAAAACACTGGGATGAGACAGGAAGCCTAGAGTGACTTTCAAGCATTAGTTAGCAAAAACTCGCAGTCAAAATGCATGTTCTTGAGGTCATCCCAGACATAATGCATCAGAGTGTCAGAGGGTGAGACCAGAAAGTTTTCAGTTTTAAACATCTCCCCAGATGATTGTATAAAAGTTTGAGAACCACTGGTCTACGGCACCATGTAGGATGTTGAAGGGCAGGGCGTGGAACTGATGTGAGTGTGGCCTCCTAGGAATTGTGACAAGATGTCCTCTGGTGCTGAAACTGAAAAAACTCGTCAATGAAGATGAGTGGAGAGGCAAGGTCAGTTACCAGGACATCGAGATGGAGATTTCTGATGCTTCGGAGGTGGAAAAGGAAGTCAGTAAAGGTAAGGACCCCATGTTTGGTCGTCATCCCATTTGGATGCCTGGTCGAGCTTCGTGAGGTGGGTGGACTCCGCCCATGACTGTTCCCACGCCCCGCCCCGGGCCTGGCTGCTCCCTCGGGACCCTCTGTCCACATCGGGCCCTAGTCCCTGGAGCTTTGTCTTTGAGTCCTTGTTAACACCAGCACATTGGGACAGAATCTGATATCAATAATTTATTGCTCAATATGTAAATAAGTATCTGAGAATAATGTCAATCTTAAAATTTAAAACTTGTCTCTAAACATGGAGGTCCGTCCTTTTTTCAAGGGCTTCCCCACTCCCCAGACCTGGTGGAGGAGGAACGGTCAGGGGGCGAGGGAACTCCTCGCCCTGTTACCTCGTAAAAAGGCATTTCAGACACTGCCCGCATCATCATGGAACCCCATTCAGCCTTTCCCCAGAGAAGGGGATGCGCGTGTTTGCATAATCCTAGCTCAGGCTAGTTCAAGGCAGGCCTCCATGGACACAGAGATCAATCTGAAGCCTCTGCAAAGGGAAGTCACACTGGCAGTGTAGGTGAGGACCAGCTAGCTGACCGAGAGCAGCACCTGTGAGATGAACAAACAATGACTTCTTTACTGACTTTCATTTTGTGCCTAGCATGTCATGTGATTAAGTGTCAGTCATTTGGGAAAGTGCTAAAGTGGCGTGAACTGATATCCGGGAGTAGGAAAGGATGGTTTAGCTTTCGTGCAGACAGGAGCACTAAGTAGCATTTGTTGACTCTTACAGACAGTCAAATGATGTTATAGACAAACTGTGATTTTGTATTAGTTGGGGTTAGGTTGGCTGCCTGTGGCAGCAAACTCAAAATAACTGTGTGCATAATTAGCCCTTGCTGTGTAACAAACCCGTTTCAAAACCGGATGGCTTGCCAGACATGGTGGCTGATGCCTGTAGTCCTGGCACTTTGGGAGACTGAGGCAGGAGGATTGCTTGAGGTCAGGAGTTCAAGGCTGCAGTGAGCTATGGCGATGCCACTGCACTCTAGCAGGGCAACAGAGCAAGACCCTGTCTCAAAACAAAAAGCGGAAAAAAAAAAAAAGGACATACACACACACACAAAATAATAATGGCTTAAAAATTTTTGTTTCTCACGATTTGATGGCCTGGGCAGTTCTTTTCTGGGCTGGATTGGCTGGGGCTGATGGTCTAGGGTGGCCCTCAGCTAACGCACCCAGGCCTTCTCTCCACGTGGTCTCTCATCTTCCAGGAGGCTACGCTGGGCTTTTGTATGTGGCAGGGGAGGGGTTCCCAGCAGCACGAGAGGACAAGCGCCGAAGCACAGCACCTTTCGATCTCGACGGCGTCACGTTTTGTGATACCGCATTAGCTAGAGAAAGTCACAGGGTCAAGCCCAATTTCAAGGGACGGACTCACAATGGAAGAAGTGGCAAAGCCACACTGTAAAGTAACATGCACACAGGGACGGAGGGGCGTACTGATACCACCTGTGCAAGCAAGCTGCCCACGCAGTGCTTTCAACAGTGTGGAAGTTCTCTCCCTCCCTCCCTCCCTCTCCCTCCCTCTCCCTCCCTCTCCCTCCCTCTCTCTCTCTCTCTGTCTTTCTCTCTCCTCCTGTCACATAAAAGTCTGGAGGTGGGCTGGTTTGAGGGTGCCAGCATCCGGAACCGAGACTCTTACTGTTTCTCTGTTTTGTGTGGCCTCTGTCCCAAGGCCCTCTCATGATTTAGTTAGCAAGTCCACGTAAGAGCCGGTGGACCATGGCAAAGGGCCTGTCCCCGCCTTATAAGCACACTTTCTGTAAGGCGACAACAGCTTCACATGTACCCCGTTGGCCAGGACCTAACCTCATGCTCGAGTCTGGGGTGAACGGATACCAGGGTAATTAGCAGACTGTATGCTGCACGGGCTATTGTTATTTCCAATCTGAGTTCTAGATTGGTGTCAAACACACCCAAAAGACATTCTGGATGCAGAAAGGAGTGAAGTGGTATTAGCTAACAATTCGATGACACAAATTCACATCATACATTTTTCATTATTAAGGAGGAAGTATCAGGCTAAAATGTCTTAATGGAAGCCGAGCAGCCAGTGCTCATCTTGGCTAAAGTAAGGACGTTGCCCGATACAATTTTCCGGCGTATGTTTCAGGAATGCCCGTGTATCCTTACTTGTTTGCAGTTAACTTCCTTGTTCATTTCCTCCCGACATCCGCGGAAGGATATTAGGTATGCAACCAGGAAGGACTTCTCCACTCTGCTCCGCTTTGGACTTCCGTAGGTTGGTGTCACCCGTGGGGAGGTCCTCATGAGGTCTCTCCACAGACAGTTCTGGCCACTGGCAGGAAAATAACTGAGTTATCCTCTGAGGCCCTTTTCAGTTACGATCACGGAAAAGTGAATCTGATCCAAATATGCTTTTTCTGTGACTCACAGAGGGTGGAAGGTGCTTTCAGTGTTCTCACTGTAATGAGATACTGCTGTCCTAAGCTTTACTGGAGTTTTCTTTTTTCCCTCTTGTCTAGCCCAGAACGTCATCGCTGGGGAAGGGATGGGGATCAGTCACGAGCTAATCAGCCTGGAGATCAGCTCCCCCCACGTCCCGGACCTGACTCTCATAGACCTTCCCGGCATCACCAGGGTGGCCGTAGGCAATCAGCCTGCTGACATCGGGCGCCAGGTACAACCTCAGACTCCATCTGACCCTGGCCTTGGCCTTGGAGGGGCTGGGGATTGGGGTAGAGCAGAGGTTGGGGGAGGGAAGGGGGCTCTGTACTGTAGCAACAGAGTCCAGGGCTGCGTTTTAATGAGTGGATATTTGGCGCGAGTGGGGAATTTGGAGAGCCCATTGGTGGAAATCTCCTTCGGCAAGTTTGATGGAAGCTTCTCTGGGGAAAGTGAGGCAAACAGGCGAAACTGGAAACAAATTCTGTATGTATGTGTTTTGTGTTTTATGCAATGGCTGATTTTTGATTCTCGTCGCACATTGTGGCATAGCTAAACAGGCGCGTTTTAGGAAGGGGTTTTATGTGGGAAGAGGTGGCATTGGAAATAGGTATAATGATATCTGCGTATCAGTGAATTTCATATTACAAATTAGAGATTTAGGGAAGGAGTCGAGCAGTTTTCGGCATCGTGTTTTCCATTGTGACCATCAGACCTCAGGTCTTAGGGGATCGTAAACCAGCTGACACCTTGTGGTTTCCCTGCCTCTGTAGCTGTTTTTGCCTCAGAGAACTTGGTTTCCCATAACTCCGTCTTGGGTGGCGCTGCCATGTCTGCATTTGTGGGTTCATTTCTCTGTAGTTACTTCTCTTTGGGGAATACCCCTGGGGCTCTGAGGACCTGAAGCAGGTGCAAGGGCGGCACCTGTCTCAGTTCCTGTTCCCCTTTGCAACACTCGCCTCCTCTCGTTTCCTTACAGATCAAGGCTCTCATCAAGAAATACATCAACAAGCAGGAGACAATCAACTTGGTGGTGGTCCCCAGTAATGTGGACATCGCCACCACGGAGGCGCTGAGCATGGCTCAGGAGGTGGACCCCGAAGGGGACAGGACCATAGGTAGGAAGAGCGGGGACCTGGGCATGGTAGGTGGTCCGCCAGTGGGAAAGTGTCCTTTGAATCCCGGTGGGCATTGCTCGACACGCACGGGGCTTGGGGACCCACGTGCAGCAAGTAAGACCTGCTATGGTGGCAGGTTTGGTGCCCACCCAGGCCAGATGAAATGAGCCACATCTGACTCTTGTTGGCCACAGGCTGACTGGTAACCGTTATCTGCCTGTTTGGAAAAGGCACGGTGAGCTCAGAGGGAGGGGCAAACTCAGGAAGCGAGTTGCATCCATTAAGGATGCACGTGAGGTGGACGCTGTGCAAACGTCCGTGGCAGATGAAGAGATACACAAAATGTGGTCCCTTTGTGCCGTGGGCCTGAGTGCAGGGGCTCAGGGGGGAGCCCCGTGGCCGCTGGCGGGGGGGCGCACTGCCTGTATGCAGCTTGTGCTGCCGTTCTCCCCTGGACGGGGGCTCCGTTGGCCCCTCGGCTCTGTAGGAGCAGGGCTGGGAGGAGCCCTGGAGGGCCAGTGGCTGGGGGCAGGAGCTGCCCTCACCTCTGCCTCGTGACCCGGAGCCTTCTCTGACCGAAGTCTCTGGCTCGCAGGAATCTTGACAAAGCCTGATTTGGTGGACAGAGGTACGGAAGACAAGGTGGTAGACGTGGTACGAAACCTCGTGTGCCACCTGAAGAAGGGCTACATGATCGTCAAGTGCCGGGGCCAGCAGGACATCCAGGACCGGCTGAGCCTGGCCGAGGCCCTGCAGAGAGAGAAGGCCTTCTTCGAGGACCACCCGCATTTCAGGTGCGCTTGTCCAGGCTGCACACTGGTAAATTCAAACTGAGGACATCAGTCCAAAGCAGAGTGTGTGTGTGTGTGTGTGTGTGTGTGTGTGTGTGTGTGAGAGTGCATTTGTACCTGGGCGATGCCTTGAGAACTCGCCTGGAAGCATAAAAGGGGAATTCACAAAGCCCTGCAAAAAAACATTAAAAATCAATCAAAATAAGGAGAGGACTGCATACAATAATTCAAATAGTATGGTGCTGGGACCAGAATAGAAACATAAATAGAAGATAAAAGTACAAAGCCTAAAAGTAGTTGCATACATTTGATAATATGATAACTTCCACATTTCAAATCAACGGGTTGTGTCAGTTTTATTATCAATCAATGGCATTGGGATAATTGCTTAATACTTGGGAAAAAATACAAATAGTGCCCTTCACACATTACACCAAAATAAATACCAGTTGAAGTTTAAAATTAAATATAAAAAAGAAGGCATACACGCCCCAGAAGAAAA